TCCAAAAGTATCAGCGGTTAGCGTGTGTGTGTGTGTGTGTGTGTGTGTGTGTTTTTTACCGATATTGGCGAGGGCTTCGCAGGGCATGGTGTCTCCAGAGAACACGAGCTGCCAGCCGGACTGATGCGTCAAACTGCAGGCAAACGCGTTCTTACAGTGACGAACATAACACGTCTGAAACTACACATATGAGAGAGAGAGAGAGAGAGAGAGAGAGAGAGAGGTTTACTCACAACATGCTCTATAGATCACTCTTTATTATACCACAATCTGTCACTCTGCGTACAGAAATGTAAAAGATTTATGTATAAAAGTTTGTTGGTGATATAAAATGAACATTATACATCTTGTGATTGTGATTTTAATGTTTTTATACAGCCTTTAAGCTTTCTTAAAACCAAAAACTCCAAGAAGACACTGCAGGTGAATAGGATAAAAAAATTAACTTGCAGATGTCACCATGAAACTTTACCAGTTGATTACTCGCATAAATAGGAGAAAAAAACGTATCGCAAGTTTTCTGTAATTTTATGTTTAAATATGCTAATCAGGCTATATCTAATTAAATATGCGCTAATTCGCATATATTTTGAAGTGACGAATCTGACCATTGGAAAAAAACAAGGTTTAAAATTATGTTTGCATTTTGTTGATATATTCAGAGGGGATTATTGTGAGTATCTCCTTTTGTTACCCTGTAAATCAGAAAATACAGCCAATAGCCTTAAAAAATAGATTTCCGCCCTATTTTTAGGGATCAAATGTCATATAAATCAGGCCAAGAATGATATAAACAAAAATCCCTCTGAACAAACCTTCACAATATAGTCAGGAATACGGCTGTAAAGTCACTAGAAACTCATTTTGAGAAAACGGCCTTTAAATATCTTTATGGGATTGCGCATTTTAGTTAAATGGCCCAGTTTACTTTCATGATTGGTTGCTGATAAACAGGAAATGACCATATTTGGATCCGACAGCATTGACGAGGAGAGAGAAAGCTTTCTAACGGTGTCGGTCGCGATCAGGGAGCAGCGGGAACGCCAACTTTTGAGGAATTTAGGCGAAATCTACACTACAAACTGCCAAAGTGCAGTAAAATAAAGACTAAATGTGTATTTTGGACTTTTTTTCAGCACAAGTCTGAAAGACGACATGTTTGAATGCTGAATACATTGAATACAAAATTGACCAGTGAAAAAAAAGTGTTTTTGCCTGCCGTGTCTCGCCTTAACTAGCAATAAAGTTTGATTAATCATCACATTAGTGCTAATGCTCTTTTTTTGTTGCATTAAACTTGTTTGTTTTTTTTTTCTTTGCAAATGCTGTTTGCTTGCAATTATGATTCCAAATTAGCAAGTGCATATAAATAAATAAAATATCATTGGTAACTTTTTTACTTCTCTTTTTTGCAACTGCTCTTTGATTGAAATTATGATTCCAAGTAAAGTAAAATAAAAACTAATTCAAATATCTATTGTGCATGGTCAAAAGGATCACACATATGTTAGCTAGACAGTCCCTCCAGGATTTCACGATTTTTTTTTTTTGTGATTTTTGCGATCAAAATGACTGATTTTGTGGTGGTAATTTCCAAAAATTTGTGAAAAAATTTGCGATTTTTTATTTAACATTTACCATAATAGTATTCAGTCCTTCCAGAAAAACGCAGAGTTTTTTTTGTGATTGTTGCGGGCAAAAATTGATTGATTATGCGGCCCGTTTTCTTTAAAAATGCGATGGAATATGCGGGATATTTATGCAATTTTATGCGATGAAATTGCTGGAATTTGCTAAAATTGAGGGAACTTGCAAAAATTGCGGTTTGATGAAAAAGAGAAAAAAAGTGATTCCCCCAACATCCTGTTAATGTAAGAGTCATTTCTTATTACTTCCTTTGATAAGCAAGCATACTACATCATAGAAAGTGCTGGGAATATTTAATTTCTCATCTTGTTTAATTTCAGACTGTAACGAGTGTAAATAAGGTGTGGCCCCTTTAAGAGCTCTCTGCAGTGTTATATGTGCGCCTCGAACACCCCATGTGTGCGGGTAATTTCTATTTGATGCTACTTCTTTTATCTTATGTTGTTTATTAAGTAACGATGTGACGGTAGAACGTGTGACAGACAGTTATACGAGTTCGATTTGTGAGATGTCAATCGCCTCCGTGAGTCTGTCTGGCGTCGCGTTATTGCGTCACTTCATAACGTTCCCATGGAAACAGGGGGAAATGGCTGCTCTTATGTGAAGCAAACGCAACATTTTTCAACTTTCTGCTAAGATACATGTGACTTTTTTTTGCAACGAAAATGCGAGGATTATGAAATTATGCAAACCCCGCATATTTTGCACGGAAATCGGCAATTTATGCGGCGAAAGTGCGGCGTATTTGAAAAAATGCGGCCCCCGCATAAATATGCGGACTTTGGCTGATTTTGCGTTGAATTCAGCGATCGCATAATCGTGTTTCTCTGGAGGGACTGATATATATATATATATATATATGTCGGCCGATATATCGGCATATCGGATTTTGGCTGATTTTGCGTTGAATTCAGTGATCGGATAATCGCGTTTCTCTGGAGGGACTGGCTAATGCTCTTTTTTTGCATTAACACTAGAACGGCCACAACGGTCATTTTGACCGTTTTGAATTTTATATCTATAATAACTTTGTTGAAAAAAATAATAAAATCCTGCTGGTAACTGACTTTTCCTAAAATTGTCTGTATTTTCATTTAAAATGCTTTTCATATAAATTAAGTTACGTAAACGTAAGGCAAAACAAAAAAAATGAACATATTTACCTATTTCGGCCATAGACGGTCATATTGACCGCACTGAATTTTGCGGTATTTTTTTGTTAAATATCCCGCGGTTGATCGTGTTCTCTCTCAACTGTCAACAGAATGGTCCGTCCGGTCACCTCTGTAGCGGTGTTTGCTATATAATAATTTCTACATTAGTTATTGATCAGAAATAAGCAAATAAAACCGGACTACAGTTATCTATAATTCGGATGCAGGGGAACAATCGGAGGTGGAAAGTGACAGCGACGTTTCCTGGGTGCAAGTTAACATTTCCTCCTCATCAAAGAGTGATTCAGAGTCAGAGTCCACATCAAGCAAAAAGAGACGGCTGCTATCATCAGACACGGCGGATCCAGATGTTCTGCCCTGTCCTGCGCTGTTTGTTTTGCTGCATGGGCTGTTCACTAGTTCTGCGAGTCCTATTATTATAGCCTTGACCGCGTCGCAAATCGTCACTATCTAACATTTTCGTCATAGTTTTTGTCATTCAAACCTAGTTTTTATTTAGTTATCGTCTCGTTTTCGTCTTTGAAAAAATGTGGTTGACAAAAATAATTACGAAAATTATTCATCAACACTGTTTTGAATCTAACGGTCAAAATGACCGTTTGTGGCCGTTCTAGTAGTTTTGGAATTCTGGCACTTCTAGTGTTAAAACTTGTTTGTTTTTTTCTTTGCAAATGCTGTTTGCTTGCAATTATGATTCCAAATTAGCAAGTGCATATAAATAAATAAAATATCATTGGTAACTTTTTTACTTCTCTTTTTTGCAACTGCTCTTTGATTGAAATTATGATTCCAAGTAAAGTAAAATAAAAACTAATTCAAATATCTATTGTGCATGGTCAAAAGGATCACACATATGTTAGCTAGACAGTCCCTCCAGGATTTCACGATTTTTTTTTTTTGTGATTTTTGCGATCAAAATGACTGATTTTGTGGTGGTAATTTCCAAAAATTTGTGAAAAAATTTGCGATTTTTTATTTAACATTTACCATAATAGTATTCAGTCCTTCCAGAAAAACGCAGAGTTTTTTTTGTGATTGTTGCGGGCAAAAATTGATTGATTATGCGGTCCGTTTTCTTTAAAAATGCGATGGAATATGCGGGATATTTATGCAATTTTATGCGATGAAATTGCTGGAATTTGCTAAAATTGAGGGAACTTGCAAAAATTGCGGTTTGATGAAAAAGAGAAAAAAAGTGATTCCCCCAACATCCTGTTAATGTAAGAGTCATTTTTTATTACTTCCTTTGATAAGCAAGCATACTACATCATAGAAAGTGCTGGGAATATTTAATTTCTCATCTTGTTTTATTTCAGACTGTAACGAGTGTAAATAAGGTGTGGCCCCTTTAAGAGCTGCGCGCTCCCTGTTGAACTCTCTGCAGTGTTATATGTGCGCCTCGAACACCCCATGTGTGCGGGTAATTTCTGTTTGATGCTACTTCTTTTATCTTATGTTGTTTATTAAAGGTGCCATATGTAATAATTGAGGTAACAATATACGAAAAATGAGCTACACGCATCAAAAGAATGAGAAGAAATAAGTGCAAAGATGTCATTAAAAAACTGACAAGTTATAGTGCTGCCGAGATATTAACCTGAATTAGCATGCTAAATTACTAGCCCCGGCCCGGCAGGTATCGTAATACCAGTTCCGGCCATGGGAGGCGGTATGCGGGCGAGCAACATTACCACCAGCCAAACTGCAATAGACGAGTGAGTCGCGCTCGCGCCGGCTTGTGTGTGTACTTGAACTTGATGTCAGTCGTGTGGAAATACAGCCCATTACTACATTTCAGTTCAGGGAAGAGTTCAAAAAATGATTGGTCGACATTATGCACAAGGAATACATTTTGGTAAGTTGTAGCATACGGTATCTTTCAACAGAGTTCGTGTTCTTTTTCCAGCTAGTAGGAACGATCGGTTCACGTGCACTAGGGATCTGTGGTGTAACATGTACAAGCGCCAAAACGGTATTTATTCTTTGAATTGCGTAATATAATTGACAGAATCTGAGAGCTTAACTAACCTGCTTGCTAAGTGTCAATTGCGTGTGTCTCACGGTGAATTCACAGCGCTAGCTTGATCAACATCAGCGAACGCTGTCGGTCAAATTAATTCACTAACAATAAAAGTGTAATATGAACAAAACGAATACCATAAACTTCAAATAATTGCCAAGCTTTTATTTTCCCATACCGTTTTTGAGATCTATGAGGCGGTCTTCATCATTTAGTGTTGAGATTCATAGTGTTTAGTTTAGTTCACTCTAGTGTTTAGTTCATTGAGTCTCTGATCTCTAAAAATCTCCAAATGTTCCACGTGAAAGTGCGGTCTTCCAACCTTTTACTATCATGTCAAATGATTTGAATAACATGCGCGATGGTAGGAGCACAAGTCATTTTCTGGAGGTATACTGCCCCCATCTGTTATGGAATATGGAGTAGGATTTGATTTATGATGTTAGATGGCACCTTTAAGTAACGATGTGACGGTAGAACGTGTGACAGACAGTTATACGAGTTCAATTTGTGAGATGTCAATCGCCTCCGTGAGTCTGGCGTCGCGTTATTGCGTCACTTCATAACGTTCCCATGGAAACGGGGAAATGGCTGCTCTCGTGTGAAGCAAACGCAGCATTTTTCAACTTTCTGCTAAGATACATGTGACTTTTGTTGCAACGAAAATGCGAGGATTATGAAATTATGCAAACCCCGCATATTTTGCACGGAAATCGGCAATTTATGCGGCGAAAGTGCGGCGTATTTGAAAAAATGCGGCCCCCGCATAAATATGCGGACTTTGGCTGATTTTGCGTTGAATTCAGCGATCGCATAATCGCGTTTCTCTGGAGGGACTGGCTAATGCTCTTTTTTTGCATTAAAACTTGTTTGTTTTTTTCTTTGCAAATGCTGTTTGCTTGCAATTATGATTCCAAATTAGCAAGTGCATATAAATAAATAAAATATCATTGGTAACTTTTTTTCTTCTTTTTTTTGCAACTGCTCTTTGATTGAAATTATGATTCCAAGTAAAATAAAATAAAATAAAAACTAATTTAAGAGCGAATGCATAAACATTCAAATATCTATTGTGCATGGCCAAAAGGATCACACACACGTTAGCTATATCACTAAAGGCCCTTTCACACTGAACGCGATTTTGACGCGCGAATAATTCGCGCGATGGTTTTATTTTTTGATCAGCTGTTTGTGTAATGAGTGCTTCCACACCGAACGCGAATCTGCTGCAGCGAAAAAACGACTTTTATTTTTTTCGCTTCGATGTCGATTTTTGAGGCGAAAGAAAAGGCTTCAGCCAATCATATACAGGGAAACAAAGGTGACGTGACCGCAGCAATGACGGACGGACTTTCTGATTGCTGTGTGTCGAGTCTGTGAATGAATATCTGAAACAAGGACTGGTGGGACGTTGTGCTCGTTCGTTCGTATCGAGCCCAACCGGGTGTTTACAAGGCTTTTCAGTCCATTTGAGCCTTCAATCCGTTTACTAAAAGTGTTTATTTGATTGCATGTAAACGTAGCCCCTGATGAATGGGACAGCTCACCTTCTGCCATATGTTTCTAGCTCCGGTAGTGGGTGCCCCAAACCTTCTTTTCTGCTTTTAAATAAAATAAAAAGCTTGTCTTCACTGGATGATAATGATGGTGATGAAGAAGCTATGTTCCACGTCCCGCAAGTCATAGCCCTGTACCGCATTTTTTTGTCTGCATCCTTTTATTTAATCGTCCTTTAAATAACAATTCTACAATTTTAAAAAATGTAATAAGAAAACATAGAAAATGCACAGCACAGACGTTAATGGAGCCATCACAAACAAACAAACTCTTCGTGGAGAGAGTGTTTGCTCTGATGAATGCTGCGTGGACAAGGAACCAGGCAACTGTGGACCTAAAGTGAACTGGTGAAAGTGAGCTCCACCTGCCAGTAGTTACTGCGAGTTACTGACATGCACATAATTAAAAAGAAGGTCCAATCGAAGCTGCCAGATCATCAGACAAACAATATAAATTCAAAATGCACTGATCGAATCCGGTAAGAACGCATTCATCTTTATCTTTCCTAATGGACTATGTGCTTATTTGAAAATGTGCTATTTAGAGATTGGGATTATTATTTTTTTTTTTATAAAGCCTATTAAAGCATCATGTTAACATCACTGCAAAAAGACATCTAATATAAAATCTATATTTATTCACCTAGTAGGCTATAATAATAATAGAGTAGCCTACGTTTTCTGATGAAAATCAGGTCTGCTTTCATCGGCGCGAATGTTTTGGAATGTTGAAGTTCTGAACGTCGCAAATTCGCGTCGCGGCTGATGTGAATGGTTTTGACGCGAAATATTCTCACGCGAACTATTCGCTTTTTCGTTTCGCTTTTCCGTTACGCATCCGGTGTGAAAGGGCCTTAACGTCTATACAGACCTTGACCAGGTCATTCTTCTTCAGGACAGTCTGGATGAAGGATTTGGTCCTGACTTTGGGGATCTCGGCACCGTCAAATAAATACTTTGATGGGATGATACTGGAACAAACACAGAAGCGATAACAAATGATAATGTGTTTACAGTCACTAGTGAGAATCACAGACGCTCTACCAGAGAGAGAGTGAGACGTAATAAAGTTTGTACTTGATCTGGCTGAGGATCTGCTGGCAGTGGTCGTGGTACTGGTTCAGCCACGTCATGATCTGCACCGGTGCGATCAGGAACACGGGACTGAGCGCTTCACCGAGACTCGTCTGCAACACACAAGACGACCCCAACAGTCAAATCATCCATCGCACAAACACATAAATGATGAAAAATAATAAAAAAAAGTACATACCAGAGCTCTCTCTCGCTCCAATAACAGCTGGATCAAACCCTGCGTGGACGACACGACACATAACAGAGAAATAAATGACGAAACACTCATCTCTCATCTCTCTATGATTCTGCTCTGGACTAAATTAACTAAATTAATAACCTTTTTAAAACAAAAATTAACCATCAAACTAGACTATGATGCCATTTTCTTCTAGAAACAAACTTTTCTGCATTATTTTCCTGTTATCTCTGTGAAGCTGCTTTGAAACTATTTGCGTTGTAAAAAGCGCTCTATATATATATATATATACAGTATATATCCCTCAGGTGCTCTTCGGTCATTTCTGACCGAAAAATTTTACGTTTTGAATTTTTAAAAATCACAGCTTCATCTGAATGTTATGAAACTTGGTGACTTTTATGGCATTATGTATGTGAACACACAAAAAAAATTGAGCTCATGATCCGAAGTGGTTGTGAAAAAAATAGTCACACTTGTGGTCTTCGGTCAAAAATGACCGACCCATAGGAAATGAATGGGAAATTGCTAAAAAAAAAAAAAATTCTCTGAATTTTTGTACGTGCAATCTACAAATCGGCCACAATTCTAAAAAAAAAAGTACACCGCAGGAAAGGGGTGACACTCCACAACATCTAGAGTGCAAAACAGACACACCCACCAACACACACCAATAAATTTTGATTACAAAAAGTATGTTTTGAATTTTTAAAATTCACAGCTTCATCTGAATGTTACGAAACTTGGTGACTTTTATGGCATTATGTATGTGAACACACAAAAAAATTGAGGTCATGATCCGAGCATGCTAAGTGGTCGTAAAAAAATAGTTACACTTGTGGTCTTCGGTCAAAAATGACCGACCATACGAAATGAATGGGAAATTGACAAAAACACAAGAACTTTGAAAATTTTTGTGTGTACAATCTACAAATCGGCCAAGATGCAGAAAAAAAGTGCTCAGCATTGAAGGGGTGACGCTCTAAAACATCAAGAGTGCAAAACAGACATACCCACCCCTACACACACACATACACACACACTTTTATACACAAAAACACCAATGCATTGTGATTAAAGAAATCTGTTTTGAATTTTTAAAAATCACAGCTTCTTCAGAAAATTACGAAACTTGGTGACTTTTATGGCATTATGTATGTGAACACACAAAAAAATGAAGGTCATGATCCGAGCATGCTAAGTGGTCGTAAAAAAATTGTTACACTTGTGGTCTTCGGTCAAAAATGACCCCCCATAGGAAATGAATGGGAAATTGACACACACAAAAATTCACAATTTCTTTTTTAAATAAAAAATCGTTTTTGAGATTGTTTCAAATATATATTTAAATCCACCAAAAAAAAAAAAATGTGTTGAGGGAATTCACATGCCTCTCCATAGAGAGCTGTACATGCCATCTAGTGGTTACACCATGATTCTACGCTTTTTCTCTATACTGTAACCAGATGGTGCTAATTTTCTTCAAAAAAAAATTTTTTCTGAAGGCCTCGACTCTATATTAAACTAAAATATTGCATTAATAATTTTTTGAAAAAAAAAAATGTATATATATATAAAATATATATATATATATTTCCATGGCAAAATAGACCATAAATATTGCATAAATATTAATAAATTCAATCAAATTGTCTCAAAATACTAAATTACAAAGAATAAATATTATAGAACAAAAAATAAATTGCATTGGTTTTACTGGGATGGAGGAAATTTAATTTTTTAGGTGTCCGGTCACTTTTGACCGGGAAGATAACAAGTGTGACTCCGAAACGTTATATATAAATAAAGGTGACTTGACTCTTTATTAATATTTTAGCATAATGACACTAAACTGTATAACTGATCATTTATTTAATTACTTGGCCAGTATGCATATAATCATCAGGATAATGTTCAGTCAAGCGGTCTCTAAGGCCAAGCAAACTGGTTTATTAAACTTGTGTTAGTGCCGGCTCACCGTGTGATGGTCTGCGTGCAGGTGCGACACAAAGATGGTGGAGAGTTTGGAGAGGATCTCGTCCACATCATTGCCATAATGACGACACAACTGACCGAACGTTCCCTCCCCACAATCCAACAGCAGCGACTGAGAGGGGCTGAGGAGCAGAGATGGAGATCAGACACACCTCTGCATTAAATCAACTCCACCCATATTACATCATAGCAATGAAACACACTGTGCTGCTGAGATTTTACCAGACCAGTGTGAACCAGCGGGACTAAAACCAACTTAACCACCATGGTATGTACGGTTCGGAACGCTTTGACGCTTTTCCACGGTATGGTACGTTACGGTTCGGAACGCTTTGGCGCTTTTCCACGGTATGGTACGTTACGGTTCGGAACGCTTTGACGCTTTTCCACGGTATGGTACGTTACGGTTCGGAACGCTTTGGCGCTTTTCCACGGTACGGTTCGGAACGCTTTGTCGCTTTTCCACGGTATGGTACGGTACGGTTCGGAACGCTTTGACGCTTTTCCACGGTATGGTACGTTACGGTTCGGAACGCTTTGACGCTTTTCCACGGTATGGTACGTTACGGTTCGGAACGCTTTGGCGCTTTTCCACGGTACGGTTCGGAACGCTTTGTCGCTTTTCCACGGTATGGTACGGTACGGTTCGGAACGCTTTGGCGCTTTTCCACGGCATGGTACGGTACGGTACGCTTTGGTGCTTTTCCACGGTACGGTTCGGAACGCGAAGAGAAAGAGACATTGACATGCTGCTCTGCTTAAGCTATAGAACGTCCAGGATCCGATCATGGCGCAGTGTTTTCCCAATGTCGTTTGAAAGTCGAACCTGAACCTATATGAAAGGCACTTGAAGATCATCACTCATCAACCAGGATCTTATTAGTATGTGACAACTGATGTTCAGTAAAGTCACTCTTTTGTCCCAGTTTGGAGGGTTTTTTGGACTCTTGGTTAATTATGCCGTTGATAAAGATTACCTGATGTTCACTAAAGTTCCACTGACGTTTCTGATCTTCATCGGCAGGGACGAGCCGGTGCCCAAAAACACGATCTCAGGAAACCTCTCACCTGGAACGACACAGAATTAATTCAGCACAAACTTCAGTTTATTATGAGCATTATAGACTCCTGCAGGATCCGAGGCGTCTGGCACAGATACAGTAGAGAGTGAGAAGTGGAGAAAGCTTTACTCTGAGGAAATTAAATGTCAAGCTGTGGAAGTGTTCTTGTCTCTCTTCTAATTCAGCGCTTTCATCACTCCTTCGGAAAGCTCACCAGATGTGGAGACGGACGCAGCCGCCTGGAACTTCCTGCACTCCTCAACTTCCTCCAGAAAGTTTGGCACTTCGGCGGCTTCCTTCGCAAACTCCTCGGAGTCGCAGGACAGGATGGCATCTCTACACACACACAAAAGTGCCTCAATTTAGATCAAGATTTGTACGAAATTCATAAAAACTGGTTTGTTGAAGCTGTAAAAATGGATTAACTCATAATTATTGCCTATTAACTTGTACAATAAGCTGGTGAACAAGGTGTACGACGAGCACAATTAACATACAGTCGTCAACATTTGAAGTGGATCAAAAATGTTAGACGAGACAAGAACGGGTATTGTTCAAAATTCATGTGATGACGGGGTTTGATCCACTTCTAGTGTTGACTTGTGTGGACACTGTGGACCTGAACCGACCGTTGCCACTCCAGTTTGGGCCGAAGCTGAAACTTGAGCAGACACTCGGCTCTGACGCTGGGGACGCTTAGAGACGCCTCAGGATCCTGCAACAGACACACACAACACACCAGTCAATAACTCACTGAAGCACAAAAAGAAAAAGACATTAAAATAGTTCATTAAATTAGAAAGACATAAAAAAAATCATTAAATCAGAAAAAAAACAACAACATTGAGGGAACAAAAAACATGAAAAATAATAAATTATTGAAAAGTTTCTACTAGAAATACTCGAAATCTAACCAAACTGGCCTAAAGACTAATAAGAAACTATTTTATATTAAATTAAATTAACTAAATGCATTAAAATGAAATAAAAATATCAAATTAATACATTAAAATACAGCAAATATATATTACAAAAAATTACATACAAATATATCAAATAGTTATCCTACACCAGAATAAATAATTGACGAATTATCAATAAAACTGACCGCTGGAAAAATGCTTGAAATCTAAAATTACCCATAAGAGACTATTTAATACTTATATGCATAAAAATGCATTAAATATGTAATGATCCAATGAATACTTTGGAAATAAGTATAGAAAAACTATTTATATAGAGATAAATTATATAAGAAAATAATTTAATTGGAAATGCACAAAAATATTAAGTAAATATTAATTGTTGAAATATTAATTGACTGAAATTAACTAAATAAATCATAAATTTAAATTAAAAAAAAAAGTTGGGAATTATCTATTTGATGATCTATCTATGATCTAGTTGACACAACAGACCTGTCAATAACTCACTGATGCACAAAAACACATTAAAATAGTAAAAAAATAAATAAAAAATCATTAAATCAGAAAAAAACAACAACATTGAGGTACATCGTCACAAAATTAAAAAAAAAAAAAAAAAAACATTACAAATAATAAATAATTGAAATGTTTCTACTGGCAATAATCGAAATCTAACCAAACTGATCAAAAGACAAATCAGATATTACTTCATATTAAATTCAATCAACAAAATGCATTAAAATGAAATAAAATCAGAAAAAAAGATCAGATTAATACATTAAAAATGTTTTAATTATTACAAAATACAACAAATATAGACTACCGGTCAAAAGTTTTAGATCTGTATGATTTTTTATGTTTTTAAATGAAGTCTCTTCTGCTCACCAAGGCTGCTTTATTTGATGAAAAAAAGTAATATTGTGAAATATTATGACAATTTAAAATGACTGTTTTCTATTTTAATATATTTTAAAATGTAATTTGAAAGATGAATTTTCACATCAGATTTCAGTGTCACATGAGCCATCAGAAATCATTCTAATATGCAAATTACTATTTTCAATGTTGAAAACAGTCGTGTACCATTTTCCCCCCAAAATTCTATGATGAATAGAAAGTTCAAAAGAACAGCATTTATTTCAAATATAATCTTTTCTAACATTATAAATGTCTTTTCTGTAACTTTTGATCAATTTAGCTCATCCGTGATGAATAAAAGTATTTTCTAATTTCTTTCCCCCAAAAATAAAACAATAAATTCTTACTGACCCCAAACTTTTGAATGGTAGTGATTAATGTTACAAAAGCTTTCCATTTCAGATCAATTCTGATCTTTTGAACTTTCTATTCATCAAAGAATCCTGAAATAAAAATGTAAAAAACTGTTTTCAACATGGATAATAATCATAAATGTTTCTTGAGCATCATATTATAATAATTTCTGTAGGATCATGTGACACTGAAGACGATGCTGTAAATTCAGCTTTGATCACAGGAATAAATTACACTTCACTATATATTCACATAGAAAACCACTGTTTTAATTTGTAATAATATTTCACAATATTACTGTTTTTTTTAAATTTTTATCAAATAATTGCAGCCTTGGTGAGCAGAAGAGACTTCTTTTAAAAACATAAAAAAATCTTACCGATCTAAAACTTTTGACCGGTAGTCTATATATATTACAAAAAATTACATAAAAATAGATCAAATTGTTATCATACACCAGAATAAATAATTGACAACTTATAAATAATGTTTACCACTGGAAATGCTTGAAATCGAATTAAATAAATTACTCAAAAGACACTATTTAATACTTAAATAAAAATGCATTAAATATGGAATGATCCAATGAACACTTTGGAAATATATTTTCATTATTTATATAGAGAAACAATTTAATTGGAAATGCAACAAAAATTGTTTGATTTTTTAATTGTTCAAATATTAATTTATTGAAATTCTAACAAAATTAAATCATACATTTAAATTAAAGAAATTAAAATAAACATTTTTTTAGAAATTATATATTTGATCAAACTTACTTGTGACCAAGACTATGCAATATTTAATTAGAATAAATTAAATTATTCTAATAAGAAATAAGAAAAAAAAATGTTTTGGTTACACTTAATTTTAAGTCGTGTCCATGTTACAGTGTAGTTATACATGCAAATACTGAATAATAATAATTATTAACAACATGTATTTCCTATGTTTAGGGTAGGATTAAGGTTTGCTTTGTTATTATGCAGAATTTATTGTTCTTACTACAGTAACTACATGTAACGAGTGTAACAAGGACACATTATAAACAGGAGCAGTTAATGTGAAATCTAACAGACTGTAACTCTGAATCACAGTGAGTGTGTGTGTGTGTGTGTGTGTTCGTACTTGGCTCTTGTAGAGTTTGAGCGGAGGGAAGATCTCAGGATGGATGAGGTTGAGCTGCGTCTGGAGTTTGAGACTGCGGGCGTTGTGAGGCGTGAACGTCTGCTCGTTCATCAGCAGATGCTCCGTGCTGCTGGGAAACCTGACACACAACAGACCCGTCACCACACACACACACACACACACACACACGATCAGATCACTGCAGTCCAGCTGTACCTCTCCATCCAGCTCTTGTACTGATCCGAGTTCAACACCGACTCCGGCGTCATGTGGACCACGAGAGCCGCCGAGTCCTCAGATCCACCGCTCTGATACCTGCACACACACACACACACACACACAACACTGTTAGATGTATAAGAAGAGAAAGTGGGCTTCATATGTCTCTGGGAGACGTTTCTTCACCTTTGCAGGACGTGATTGGTGCAAAGCGGCTGAATGAAGTCCTCTGACGGACAGTCGACCACCATGAACACAGGTCCGGGATCAGCCGGAGTGCACAGCTCCTCCGGTCGGATCTGAAACACACACTGACAGTCAGAACAACCAGATCCCAAAGTCTTCAGATCAACACTGGAGTCTCTCGGCTCTAAAACATCTGAAGGATCACCTCTTTTCCATCGTGGGTGACACTTTTCCCAGCTTTCAGAGCCTCGATTATGGGCCCGATGGCTGCGGTTCCTCTACAGGTCAAAGAAACCGTTACGTGTTCATATTGTGTGCGTTATATTTCAGTCCTGAACAGATATATCATATCAGATACTCACACCGGCAGGCCCATCTCTTTAGCTTTCAGCACCAGAAAGTTCCCTTTCCTGGAGTGTAACTGAAGAAACATCATGGAAAATAAGCTTTTACTCACAGTTTGATCGTAAAAAGATGCATGAAGATTTGAGATTATTTCTGCTGACCTTACACACGTAGGCCACCACGAGAGATGGATCTCTGGTGAGATTTCCTTCTGTGAAAGAAGAACGTATTTCTGATTAAACACATTAGTGCCACTCTCTTTAAGTGCACTTCAAAACAACCACTAATCATGAATATGACGCACATGTGACGTACAAACAGCCTTTTAAGTGAGATATGTTTGTTTTAAGGTTTGCTGGATGAAATGAAGTTTAGATTTTGTTTTGTTTATCCATACGTGTAGTTCAAATGCAATGGAAATTATTATTTGTATCAGTGTATCAGTTATTGGTGTGAAATTATGGAATTTACTAAAAGATGATTTGAAATTATGTACTTCTCTGTCTAGCTTTAAAAGATCTTTAAGAAAGAAAATTGTAAATGAGTATTCAGTTAGAATGTGAATTTGGTTAATATTATGTAAAAAAAATGCATGTGCAGTATTGTATACATTTTTTTTTTTTTATATATAATTTATAATGCCGATTTGTGCTTCTGAGTAGTTTCAAAAGATCGATTACATTTTTTTTTTCTATTTTTATGATTGTTTAGTTAGTATGTAAATTTTGTTAATATTACGTAAAAAAAAAAATATGTATGTGCAGTATTGTATAAATATGTATATTGTTTTTGTATAATTTATAATACTGATTATTCAGGTATATGGTTAAATAGGGTAGGCCAATATAAGCCTTGGCTTCAGCCAACTCTTTTTTTTTTTTTTGGAGTTTTACAATTTCATTGTAAATTTACCAGAAAAAATAAACAAAATCAAATTAAATCAAAACAATTATTTAACTCACTTTAATTATTATTATTGGATCAAACTGGAGCCCTAGAATGAATGGGTTTCTCTTTAAATTGAACTAAAATTATATTATTATAATTATAATAAACAATAAGAACAATATAAATGGACAACTTATATATACTTATATATACTTATTTTTTCAAATGATCAACAATGTAGTTGTAAAAACGAATTTTAATTATATTTTATTATTTAACACTAATGCCATTAAATAAAGCAACAAAATAAATATATAAATAATTTAAATAATAAAATTAGTATTTTATTTTAATATATTTTATTATTGTACACTAATGTCAATAATTACAATAAATAAATAAATAAATTATTTAAAATATATATTAAATAGAATTTATTAAATATATTCATAGCATATCCCCCTTTAAACTACGTAGTTTGTGACTCATTTAAAACATAAATTTTATTCGGTTTCATACCTAATATATTTTGTAAAGTAAAAGTAATTTTCGGTGAATGTGCGAGACTTCTGATTCATTAGACACTGGAGGTGAATAACAGGGAACAGGGACGGGTCTCGCCTGTAGCCTAAAGGCTGTTGCACACCGAGGCCGAAATTTTCATATTCGTGATTCGGTGGCTCTGAATTGTCAAAACTGCATTCAAACCGCATTCAATCTCCATTCAAACTCAACCGCGTTCAAACTCCATTCAAACTCCATTCAAACCACATTCAAATTGCATTCAAACTCCATTCAAACCGCATTCAAACCGCATTCAAACTCCATTCAAACCGCATTCAAACTGCATTCAAACCACATTCAAACTCCATTCAAACTCTATTCAAACTGCATTCAAACCGCTATCAAACTCCATTTAAACCACATTTAAACTCCATTCAAACCACATTCAAACTCCATTCAAACCGCATTCAAACTCCATTTAAATTGCATTCAAACTCCATTCAAACCGCATTCAAACTGCATTCAAACCACATTCAAACTCCATTCAAACTCTATTCAAACTGCATTCAAACCGCTATCAAACTCCATTCAAACCGCATTCAAACTCCATTCAAACTGCATTCAAACTTCATTCAAATTGCATTCAAACTCCATTCAAACCGCATTCAAACTGCATTCAAACCACATTCAAACTCCATTCAAACTCTATTCAAACTGCATTCAAACCGCTATCAAACTCCATTCAAACCGCATTCAAACTCCATTCAAACTGCATTCAAACTCCATTCAAATTGCATTCAAACTCCATTCAAACCGCATTCAAACTGCATTCAAACCACATTCAAACTCCATTCAAACTCTATTCAAACTGCATTCAAACCGCTATCAAACTCCATTCAAACCGCATTCAAACTCCATTCAAACCACATTCAAACCGCATTCAAACTCCATTCAAACCGCATTCAAACTCCATTTAAATTGCATTCAAACTCCATTCAAACTGCATTCAAACCACAATCAAACTCCATTCAAACCGCATTCAAACTCCATTCAAACCGCATTCAAACTCCATTTAAATTGCATTCAAACCAGGCGCGGAGTTTGCGGGGGGGCAGGGGGAGCGTTGCCCCCCCGGTGGCTGAAACGGGTAATCTCATTTTCTTAAAAAAGCTGTAAAAAAACTACCAACCCCAATCTCTTTAAGTTATCGCTCACTCGGTCGATTGTGTCATCTAACTCTGAGAGAAGCTTTTCTGCGATAAATGGGCGTCAATTTGAAATGTGCTGGGGACAGAGACGTACTCGAAAGGGCATTTTCACAAGTGCTGGGTACGCATTCATTCTTTTTCTCTCTTTCGAGTAGGTCATGTTTTGAAAGACGATGTTCTGTAGCTCCTGATGTACATAAATAAAAATGAGCACAATGTCCGAGTATAGCACTTTTTTCATGTGTATAGTGAGTATATAAAGCATATAGTCCCTTTTTCGTGTATACAGTGATGGTCCAGATCCAGGACTCGGGAGGTTCGAGGTTCTAATCCGCACTCGTAAAGTTTTTTTTTTCCCCCTCATCAAAACCAATAGGTAGCCTAATCCCGTGTCTTAAAATTTTTCAATGATTCATGAAGTATAAATGCGAAATTTAACTAGTTTTTTAATCATTATCATTGCCAGAATGTGTTTTGAAAAAAGGAAAGAAAACTTTAAGGTTGAAGATAATATTTTAACAGTGCAAAAGTGGTCCACATTTCATGATCCTATAACGAAGATGCGACGCGAAGTGGCTGTTAATGCGAAGTTCTAGCTGTTTACAATGACATAAAGGCAATAAAATATCAGTGTATTGTTTTACTGTTTTTTCTTGGGATAAAAATAAATATGTGTTTATTTAGCATGTTTTTTTTTTTTTTGCCCCCCCTGGCTCGAATGTCAAACTCCGCCTATGATTCAAACTCCATTCAAACCGTATCCAAACTGCATTCAAACCACATTTACAAAAAAACGCATTCAAACTCCATTCAAACTGCCTGCTACGGATGCGAAAAACGCAGAAAACGGAACCCGATTCGATTTTTTAATGACGGACGAAAGTTCCGGAGGCAGTGTGCAAGAGTGATTGCCATAACGTGAGGTCGTATTTATTTTTTAACTTGCGAAAATTTCGGAAGCGAATTTCGGAGTCAGTGTGCAAGGGCCTTAACTGAAATCGCCCCAATATCCTTAAACAGAGCACTCTTTGAGGGAACACCCATCTGTAGTGGTGTGTGTGTGTGTGTGTCTTGCCTGGACTGGGTGATCTTCTACTGGCGTTCAGACTCGGACTCTCCTCCTGGTCCTCCGGTCTCCCGAGCGCCCCCTTCTGACCACTGTTAGGACTGCAGCTGCGCACCGAGCTTGGGGAACCTCCGCCGGCCTCCTTACGCTCCGCTACACACACACAGAGAGAGAGAGAGGAGACGGATCCTTTACATGTGAAGGGTTTTTAAACGTTCAGAACAGTGTATGAAGAGGCGACACTCACATAAGAGAGGAACCTGGCTGACGGTCATGGTGTTGTCTTTATATTGAGGATCAGTGTACGGCCTGACCGCTGCAAAACACACACAACAGCATCTCCTTTAGATGAGTACACAGATCATAGATGTTAATTTACTATCATTTACTATTCATAGAAACATTTTCAATTAGCTTTTTTAGCTTCTAGTCTCTAGTTGCAGTTTTCATATTAGATTAATAATCATTTTTATCAGTTTTAGATTTCATCTCTTTTTAGTTGTAGTCCTTCAACAACATAAAGGTGCAGTGTGTTATGTTTTAGCGGCATCTAGTGGTGAGGTTACGAACTGCACCCAGAAGAAGTTAGGGTGGCTGGCTGGAAGTGATGCCGTCTGAGCCAGTTAAGCAATGAGGTTTCTTTACAAACTTTAATTAATCAGTAAAACGATCATCATCATCATCTTCTTCCGCTCATCCGGGGCCGGGTCGCGGGGGCAGCAGTGTGTCAGTGTTTTATTCGCTGACTTTAGCTAGCTTCTTTGCATGAAGAACAACATAGTGACAAAACGCGTTTGTCCGTTTCTATGGAGCAAAGATTGCGTCTTTATTTAATGCGAGAAATTAAATGATCTGAGAGAGAGAAAAAATGTTTGAGAGAAATGTTATCACACTGATTGCAAAAAAGCATTTCATGAGAGAAAAAAATATTATTAATTATTACAAATTAATTTTTAATAATCAGATAAACCGAATATTAAAAATTGATTATTTTTTTAACTTCATATGTGTTTTGTTCACATGTATATTGTGTGTTTGTTTTTTTGGCTTGTATTTGTTTGTCTATGTTTGGGGACTACGGATGGAAATTTTAAAATAATAATAAATATAATAATAATAATAAAATAATAATATTTGAGACTAAAAAAGTTGAGAGAAAGTATTTTGTCATAGAAAATAAAAAATAAATGTTTTATATTTTTTATTATTTGTGAGGAAAAAAAACTCTCAAAATACTTAAATATATATTTTTTGGAAAGGTTTGGAAAGAAAGGGAGAAAGCATTACATAATAACGCATTTTACATTAAATTACACATTGACTTTCAATACCAACCAGATACAAAACAGATTTTTAAGTAATTTAAACGACATATTGCGTTTTCTTATACTCCACTGAAAACATAGTTATGTATATGATATTGCATTTCTGTCAACAGATCCTCCTAAATATTACACACTGCACCTTTAAAACTAAAACAAAACCTGATGAACTCATTCATCTTTTAGCTTATGTTATTTTAGTACACTATAACAACACCGCATATATAACAGACGTGAGAATGATAACGGTGGACTTTACCGAGTTTAATGTCTTCCAGCGGTCCTGAAAACACTCGTATGGCCTGTAAGTATTTCTCCTAAAACAACAGAACAACACAATCCAGTCAAACACCACCGGAAAACTTCTAAAAATATCCAAACGCACACACAGATCTGCTTAAACACACCAGCTGTGGCGGTCCCGACAGGACACACTGACGCACTCCCGTGTCTTTGAGGGTCAGGATCATCCCTGCCAAACACAACACACACAGTCAATCTCAGTCTGTACAAGACAACAGTGTGGATCTGAAGAAGATAACAACTGGAAAAGCTTTGAATGGGAATGAGGGAATGAAGAGCTGAAGCACCGGATAAACCGCCGACCGTCTCCCAGCTCATCCTGGTGAGGAAGATGTTGTCCAAGCGAGCGATTTTCATCCTGGATACACAATCAAAACACCCCGTATGAACACAGAAGAGCGTCATTACGTCACAGTGAACGTGTGTTAGTCGGTCTCTTACTTGTGTTCCTGCATCAGTCTCTGAGTTCCTTCACCACAGTTGAACAAATACCTGCATATCAAACAGAGGCTTTACACTTCACACTCTACAGATTAAAGCAACACGCCTCATGAAGCCGTGATGTAGAACAACAAGGGGCTTATTGCTTTTATAAAACTGTTACTCCATAAAAACATTAATTGTATTTGTAATGTGTATTTTATTTATAAAATAAACACCAGTAACAAAAAAACACATTTTATTAATGTAGTTCTAAAGAGGTTGCCAAGCAACACAGTATCACAAACGGCAGTAACACTAATGTAATGCGGTCACAGGTGTGTGTGTGTGTGTGTGTGTTGAGTAATTTACAACGACTATATCAACCAATCAGAATCAAGGAACTATCCGTTTTATAAAGAGTGCTATACACACACAGGTGGCTTGACATTTTATACTCAATTTCACTACTTCACCAATTCACACTAGGGCTGTGAAACGATTAATCGCGATTAATTGCATCCAAAATAAAAGTCTGTGTTTACACAATATATGGGTGTGTAGCAGTGGAGATTTCTTTAAGACTGCAAGGGAAGCCCAGCTTCCCCTATAATGTCAAACAAATAATGATCAAATGTGTACTATTGTGTTAACATTTTAATGAGTAAAAATGCGTTAGAACACGGTAATCTCGAAGACGAGTTCGTTCAGAATAAGCAACAAATAGCAGGTCGGACTTGATCTCCTTCTCATGCAGCGCCTCCTGTAGCGCGTCACAGTGCATGCGTTTTCCTATGGCATTTCCCCGTTGAAGCTCGGCGTCCATTGACTTCAATGGGGCTGCTTTGAACAGTTTTTTTCAGTGCTGTTAAAGTAGACGGTCATTGGATAAATGCTGCGATTATGTCCCGCCCACGGACGCCGGGCGTCTCTGGGGTTAATAGGGAAGTGGGCTGGCCTGGCGTCCGGGCGTCCGCGTGATGATTGGAGGATTGCATCTCCTTTTGATTGACAGTGATTTCACCCAATAAAAAAATCGCTGACGCGGAATCTAGTTTAAAGACTTCGTGCTCAGTCTCGTCGCGAATTTTGTGTGTATTTTACTCGAAAGACGAACTACTGTAACATATTTCTTAGTATTTGCAATTTTCATCAGATATTTCACAGTTCAACCTAATTCCCACATTTCTTCCGTCGATGTCAGGTGTCTTGTTACATGTGCTGGCGTGGTGTTTGAATCACGGCACATCTGTCTAGTTTGGTTTCACTTTTGTGTTGGGATTCGGACATGCATTCTCCGCGTGTTTGTTTTCGGTTGTGAGTGCACAGGATGACCTTATGGTCGTACTCATGCGTAACGTTAGCGTTCTGTCTTGTCGTGTTCGCTCTGTTCAGTGTGTTGTGTATTGTGTAGCACATGGTTTGTGTTTACATCGGCCGCGTGCTTTCATGTCATGTTTTGTCTTGTGCTGTGTAGCACACAGCTTGTGTTTTAAACTAGCTGTGTGCTTTCATGTTGTCATGTTCTGTGTGAACACGTGTCTTATGAGTGTTCTCATCGTTCTTCAGGTCTCATTTTGTGTGAGCACAATTGCTTTTTAATTTGTTTTATTGGTCATGTGTTTTTGTCATGTTTGGTATGAGCACATGGCTTGTGCTTGTCATGTGTTTGTTGTGCCATATGTGCTTTCCTGTCATTGTGACTCCCATCTTGTTTTCTGATTATTAGTTATTTTGCCCCACCTGTCCTCCCTCGTTACCTGCCTTTTTTGCTCCCAATTTATTCCCCTTGTTTTTTTTTGTTTTTTTTTTATCAATAAAATAAAGCCCATCGAGTCCTCGCTCTTTTCACCATCCCCACACCTGACAGTCGAGTTTAAAAAAAAAAGAAGAAAAAAAAGAAGAGCTTCCCCTCTTTGAAAGACCAGCAGCCGCCACTGGTGTGTAGTGTGTATAATTATTACATATATATATATATATATATATATATATATACACACATATATATATATTTAAATAGTATATATAAATACACACATGCATGTATATATTTAAGAAATATTTGCATGTATATACTTTATATATATTTATACAAAATTAATAATCTACATAAATATAATATTTTTTTTAAATATATACATTTTTTAAATATATACATGTGTGTATTTATATATATAAAATAATTATACACACACATATATTATGTAAACAAACTTTTATTTTGGATGCGATTAATCGCGATCACACTATATTTGGCTTAGGTGATCATGTATATTCAAATATATATTAAAGTGAAAACATAAAAATACATTTATATAGTCCTTTAGTTTTATGGAAGGCACCTAAAATATCTGCAGAATCAAAGTTTAATTATATTTGTGATTATTCTTTACTGGTCTCTTATGGGGGAATTTCTGTAAATGTTGTTTTTAAATGAAAGATAAGTGATTATATAAATACTCAAATTATATATATATATATATATATATATATATACACACACACACATATACACACACACACACACATATATAGTATATATATATATATATATATATAAATACATGTATATATATATATATATATATATATATATATATACACACACACATGTGTGTATATATATATAGTTCCTCAACTAATGAGCTCTGATAATACATATTATAGTACATAAAGTTCAACAGTAAAATATTTTGAAATTTCATGACATATTTTAAACCATATTCATAAATACGAATCATATATTCTATTTATTCTGATATTTATATAAAATGCATATGTATATAAACTATTGATTTAAGCATTGCATAATGTCACAATATTTGTTCATTTAAAAAACTCTGAATTGTTCCCTTTTATTATTAAACATTATTCTTATAAAAAAGGCAACAAATTACTTTATTATTGTATAATTACTTTCATTATTAATTCATCAACAAACACGATAGCTTAAATGGTCAGTGGCACATTTATAATATGTGTGTGTGTGTGTGTGTGTGTGTGTGTATACAATATTATATTATATAATAGGATATAATCCACAGATATAATCACAAATGTGATTGAAATCATGCGTTTGATTTATATAAAATAAATTTTATAATCATATATTTCATTATTACATAATGTGCAAATGTGTGTGATTGTTATTTGTGAAACCCAAGTAGTTTTACTTAGATTTTTCTAAATGACATTCATAATAATCAAGTAATTTGTACTAAAATTATTTAAACTAAGCTGACATGCCATTGAACTCTGCTTCACACATATTTTTACTGCACACAGATGAACAACTGATGTATTATGGAATGATGATTATTGATTATTGATGCTGTTATGAAGAATAACGTTTGACCCTCATGACAGATTCTGTCACGTGACACTCGCATGCCATGATGTCGCGTGAGATGTCTCACCTGTTGTACTCGGAGAAGACGTACAGTGACGCGCCGTTATCGCGACTCCCCGCGCCCGCGACCTGCACATATACGGTGGACGGCCCGTGCAGCTCGCCCTGCCTGCGGTTGTCCCTCGTCTTCACATGTCGCAGCGTGTCTTTCGGTGGTCTGGTCTTCCCGGAGGAGTGTGACATCGGTCTCTGCATCAGCAGAGTCTCTTCAGAGACTCTCAGTCTGTGTGTGAGGAAAGCGCAGCGGAGGCGCGCGAGCATAATAAACACCGCGAGCGCCTACGAGGAGCGGCTCATGATATCAGCTCAATGAAGTCAAAAATATCACGGGAATGTTCTGTTAGTTTCTGTACAGCACAGCAGTCTGAAGGACTCACTCACACATGTGTGTGTTGATGCTGCAGCTGGGCGCGTTTCCGTCGCGTGATGATGACGTCTGGACTAGAAATAGAACTGGGTGGAATGACGCGAAAATATGTTATGTATTAATATAAAAGTGCCTTTTAAATCATTCAAAATATTTTACAAAGCTAACAGATCATCTAGTTTAAATCTGATATCGACAAAATGTGTAACTTTTGTCAGAGTGTTGGACATTTATTTGGTCACTGTAATTTTACATTATTTTCTGGAAATGTTCTGCACTTATGTGATTGATTATCTGTACCCTCACTTTTCATTATGTTGGGGAATTCTTTTTGTGAGGTTTTGATAATAATAGCCATCAACTATTTGTTACAAACAATCTTCACATTTATTTTTGAGTGAGCTATATCCCTTTAACCAGTCGCACTTCTAAAAATGTTCACTATCGACATTTAGGTCTACCATAAATAGTAAAAAAGTTGTAAAAAGGTCAGACATGACTATTTTAATTATTAACGGTGTATTTTTAAAACTTATTGTCTATTATTAATAAGATAAACATTATGATTATCGTTCGCTCATCTGCTGAAACGACGCGCTGTCAGTTTATAACCGTTACTTTTCTCACCGCTGTTGAGGACGGACCAATCACAGACGTTTATCGATGATGGATAATAATTTCCAAACCGTCGTGAAATGGACATTGTTGTGCTGCATTCTTATTTTGTATTCCAGATATTACTTGTATTCCAGATATGTGTTTTTATTAGACTGGATCGATTATACCGTAAGGTGTCGAAATCTCTGCAGTATCGTTAACTAAGATAAAAAAAAAAAAAAAACGTTGTGAAAAAAGTCTTCCTCAAGGGGGCGCGAGACTGCTAAATCCGACTCCTAAAATATGATGTATTAAATAAGTCCATTTTAAGGACAAACAAATGTCAGTCCACAACATATATTTCTATAAAATTACCCATTAAAACTCTGTAATTGGGCTTATGGATAACAAATATGGCTAAATGTTTTTACTACCTGTCATTTTTCGTCTCATTGGCTGCATTTATTTGCTCAAAAATACAGTAAATTAACAGCAATATGAATTAATAACAGGAACAAAAATAAACGTAATATTGTGAAATATTATACTATTTAAAATCGGTTTTCTACTTCAATTGAAATGCAATTTATTCCTGTAATCAAAGCTTAATTATTAGCAGCCATTCGAGTCTGCTTTTTAAATGCATGCACGTAATTTTGAAATTAAAATTTAAACAATGATATTTCTTTATTAATTACTAATAAATAAATATATGGGCAACAGAATCAAGTAAAAAGAAATCAAAACAAGCGGGAAAAAACTCACTGGATTGATTTCTTACAAGATGATCTACACTTTAATAATAAAATATCAACCATGAAGTCGTTTCCATATTCCTCAGTTTTATTTATAATATCAACACATATTCGTTGTACAGTGAGGATAGATGTCCTCGTTACAGAAAGCCCGGCCACCTCTGCGTCACCTTTACATACAAAACACGCGTTTAATATCACATACATGAAGAGGGGGGGGGGGACCGGACACGAGCAGATTCCAGTACGGCGACGGCGTCCCAATCATCATTTCAGAAGTATAAATACAATTCCAGGCTTATTATTATTCATTATTTTATATCGGTTTAAAATCACTATCCTGCATCCACAAGAGACAGAGAGAGAGAGAGAGACCGTCGCGTGTGTCCCATCAGACGCCTGTGTGTGTGTTTATACGCTTTACAGATGTGTGTGTGACGAGACAGAGAGAGAGTGAGAGAGGGAATCATGGGTAGGAGGTATATTACAGTCGAGCTTGAATTAAACACCGTTCTGCGGTGCTCGTGTGTACGTTTTCCCGTTTTAATACTGTAGTTCTGTGATGAAGCAAATCTACACCGTGTTCAGACGCGCAAGTGTGTGTGTCAGTCCATGGACATCGGGGAGCTGGGAGACGCGGGCATCTTATCCAGGATCGTGCAGACGTAACTGCCCACGTCCACCGTACGCTCCTCGTAGATCTGAATGAAGGGATGTTTCTGACAGAGAGAGAGAGAGAGAGAGAGAGAGGTTCATTTCTTTACCTGAACAGCACTTCTGCTTTGTGGAGTTTAGTGACTACATGCTTTACCTTCACACATGAAATACTCAAAGAACGTCTGCATTTAAAGGGAGTATTTACACACTTTATGAAATTTCAATGTTTTCAATCTAATAATGCTTTTATAAGACTTGACTCTGATGTAATCATACAAATAATTGACCATTTGCATAACTTTAACACAAGTTTTTATTTCTCAAACAATAAAAGCCAACAGAGCTTTTGCTGAAAAGTGAGTTAATATCACAAACTATACATAATATAATATAATATCTGTTTGTAACCTAGCCATTATAAATAATACGTTATTTAAAAAAAAATTTATTTATGTTGATTATATGAAAGGTGAACAGCATGAGTAAGATATCGGGAGACACATGGAGTGGGGCAGACAATATAACTATTCCTACTCCATGTGTCTCCCGATCGTTATATATATCGTTATATATATATATATAATCGTTTTATATATATATATATATATATATATATATATATATATAAATAAATAACTATATATATATATATATATATAACTATATATATATAACTATATATATATACATATATATATATAATGATTATAATATATAAGCTGTTTAAAGGTTTATATACCCAATGACTTTTGATTTGGATGAGGATTGTGAAAATAATTTTATATAGACAGAGATCAATTTTTTTTAATAAAAAAGGTTTCTTTAAATATCATAATTTTTGCAGTCCTAAATATGTATATTTTTTAAAAATCACCATTTTCCATAACCGTAGAAAATCTGCAGGATGAATATTATGCTAATTAACTTAGCATGCATAAGATGATCCTAAAAAGACAGAAATGCTTTCAAGAAGTGCTGAACGTGTCACAGGAAACAGAAACTCACCAGAAGCTCTTTGTACTTTGGCCTCTTTGACTCGTCCTTTGTAAGGCTGTTAGAGACAGAAACAATATAATATCTCATTAAACCCAGTTAGATCTGGAGCTCTTGCAGTATCTCTGAGTGTCCAGCAAGAGGCGTTGTGCATCATGTGATCAGAGTCGTTACATCGCTTATGCTGAGTCTGCAAACTCTCAGAAAGAGGAAACGCTCCGAGATCACAGGGAAGTGTGTGTGTGTGTGTGTCTCACCACAGGTTGACGAAGTTGATGAATTTGGGGGAGAACTGCCTCTCCTCGGAGCTGCTGAGCTGCGGCGGGTCGCCCTTCACCACCTGCGTCAGCTGATCGAACACACTGTTCCACTTCGGGTAGGGGAACCGTCCTGTGGCCAGTTCGTACTGAAACACACACACACAATAACAGCACTGCAGCAGACTTTCAACATCACACACCACATGACAGATCACACATCATTCTCACCAGTGTGATTCCCAAACTCCAGACGTCTGAGCGCACATCATATCCCTGTCTGGAGGCGCTGGGGTCTATCCTCTCCGGCTGGAACACACACACACACATTTACTTTACTTACTTTCACTATCAGTTCTGCACTCGCTGTCAGTGCGTGGCATGATATTCTAAAGATAGTGTATTGAGAATAAAAACAGTTTAATGCTATATTAGGAATATTTATATACATTTTGTTTTTGTTACTAAATATCCTATTAAAATATCACAAATAATATATTTGCATTGATTACTAAAAATAAAATGCATATTTAAATGTATAATTAAAATAAAGATTAAAATTAATTAAAACTAAATAAATAATTGGGGTGTTATTAAAAAAACATTTATATTAATATATTAGGAATATTAATTTAATAATTAAAGTATTATCGATTACTATTCATATTCAATGTATTTTTATACATTTTGTTACTTAATCTATTATATTATTAAAATTTTTAATTAATCTATTAAAAATATTACTATTAATATATTTGTATTATAATAAAATTAATATATTAAAATAGTATGGTTAAAAATACAATGTTTTTAAATGGATTATTTTACAAATTAAAATAAAGATTAAAATAAATGAAAAATAAAAAATTAATCGATGCATGTTGTTCTAAAAAATAATAATCATCATTAATATAATAATTATTCTCTTTTTTAACAATAATAATAATAATAAGTATTATTTATAATATTATTATTATTATTATAAAAATAATAAATTCCATTTCAAAAAAATGTTTCATTCTTAAACATTGGGAGTGAAAATAATATTAAGTTTTACCAATGATTAATGACTTAGTCAAGTCCCGTCTTTTTGTGATTTACTGTTTAATAATAAAGGTCACATTACACAGGTTAAACGTGTTGCTAAAGTCGTTTCATGATTCCAAACACACTTTTTCATGGCACTAGAAACACTAAAGTTTGGCACAAATCATTTTGTTAAAATCATGCATGATATTAAAAAAAAATGTATTCATTAATATAAGTAATAATTGACTTTAAATCAGTTTTCTACATAAAATATAATACAATTAATTCAAAAAAATTTATTCTAGTTGATTTAATCCAGTCCATCCAACACAATCTACTGATGAATATTCAGTGTAACTCAGAAATCACTGGATAAATGCAGTGCAAATGTTCTGGCGTTTCATGCCGATTAATGTTTCATGACTTTAAAGAGCCACGACGATCACGGGTTCATTCCTCAAGGGACACACGACTGATAAAATGTCCGGGAAAAGACAATTGCGCAATCGCGAGAGCGCAGCAGAGTGATTCTCCAGCGCAGCCGACGCTTCAAAGGTCAAAACAGCAGGAAAACAGATGTGCTTCTGTGTGTGTGTCATATGCTAACAGCTGTGCGTGTCAGTCAACACAAGTCCTTCGTGCTTAAAGACGGATGATGTCATAATGCAGTCTGGATGAGATCATGCGCTCAGATTAGACTATGACATCATCACTAACTGCAGAGCGGCGCTTCATTCACAGATACTCCTGCAGTGACATCACTCTACACGCGCTCGACAGGAAATCAACAGTCTTTGTCAATAATTGACTTTAGTTTGTTATATTGGTACAAAACTTGATATTTAAAAGCCATAAACTAATTCTGACCGCATCACAGGATAACTGCACGTCCAAAAATTTTGTTTTTTATATGGATTAAAATAGAATAACTTCTAATTATATATAATAATAATTGATAGCATTATATTTTTTCTACATATAGAAAGTGAGTGAGAACTAGAGAGAGAGAGAGATGAGTTACACATAGTCTAGTTTTTAGGTGTTGTTGTGGAGAAATTAACACTTTTATTCAGCAAGGATGCGTTCAATTGACCAAAAGAGAGTTATAACGCCACCAAAATCTCAAGTAAATGCTGTTCTTTTGAACTTTCTATTATTTTTTCACAAAAAATAAGAAATGGCACAACTGTTTTCAACACTGATAATATAATAAGAAATGTTTCCTGATCATCAGATCATCATATTATAATGATTTCTGAAGGATCATGTGACACTGAAGACTGGAGTAATTGATCACAGGGATATATTCACATAGATAAAACAGTATCTTATATCTTATTTTAAATTGCAATAATATTTTTTTACTGTATTTCTGATTAACACACTTCTTTCACAAACATTAAAACTCCTACCGACCCCAAACTTTTAAACAGTTGTAGATACATTAGAGCTGTCAGTTAAACGCGTTATTAACGGCGTTAACGCAAACTCATTTAAACACGACTCATTTTTTATCGCGAGATTAACGGTCTTTTCGGCCTAGCAAACTTTGTAGTTTTTTTTTTAAATGCTTTTGCAACATAACTGCGCTATGAAACTCATTAATTTTAATGGCTAAACTGCACACCGTGGTCAAATTTCTAAATAGTTAAACTTTTGCCGCTGTGACGATTACCAGCGGGCCCAATAGAAACTTTTTTCGGCATCCAAAAAGTTTTGAAAACTGGCGCAGTGCCGCGTCCTGTTGCAAAATCATGTAAAAAAAAACTACAAAGTTTGCAAGGCCAAAAAGACCGTTAATCTCGCGATAAAAAAATAGTCGCATTTAAATGGGTTTGCGTTAACGCCGTTAATAACGCATTTAACAACAAAACCAACCGGAAACAACAATTGTTGCGAGCCGGCCAAATAGTAGGTTAGCGTTACGTTATAATATATAATACATAATATATGTGTGTGTAGTGTGTATAATTAATTTGTATATATAAATACACACACATGCATGTATATATTTAAGAAAAATGTGTTATTAATATATCAAATATTTATATTTATATATAATATTAATTGTGAATAAATATATATAAAATATATACATGCACATATTTCTTAAATATATGCATGTGTGGGTATTTATTAGGGGTGCAACGGATCAAAAAACTCACGGATCGGATCGTTTCTCGGATCAGGGTCACGGATCGGATCATTTTTCGGATCAGCAAAAAAAAAAAAAAAAAAAATTCCCCCAAAATAACTGTAATAGCCTACTGACAAATTCTTTAATAATAAATAGACTTAACATTATGATATTCTGTTTTATTTTAACTTCACAGGGTTCCAGACTGAAAGTTGAGGGCAGCATCACCTCAAATGAGAACTCACAGCGAGTTCTACAAAAAAAAAAAAAAAAATTCTGGTAGCACTGGGGCTGACAAGAAATCACTAAGCTTAATTTAGGGTGTAGATGAAATTAACTTAGTTATTATCATTTATAATGTCTTAATATCAATTAATAAAAGTAGTGAAAATATCATCGTACTTTTTTCATTTTAGGACAATCTTTAAAGGATAAACAAAAAAATGTGTTGGTAATCACATAAAAAATTCAAAAAAATAAAACATTTATTTATGATATTATTGAAGTGCTGGGAAAAGATGTGTAGTAGGCTACTTGTAAGCATTTGACTATTTCTTACACATTATCATATATAGGCTGATTTGTGGACTAAAAGCCTTCTATAAGTGTTTCTCCTGGTTTCCACGTCAGCTCTGTTTGATCTGATATGGTTTATAACAGAAACCTGCGCCGAATCGGAGTGTTTCTCACTGGATCTCGTGGTGTTGATGTTATTAATTCTGAGGCGAATTCAATGGATTTCTTCACTGGATCTCCTAGTAACAGTGTTGCGTGAGCGAGATCGGCCCGCGACTGTCAAGTTCGGGGCTTTATTTTGTCAATGGATCGCTGCTGCTGCTCCGACCACGGTCCTAATCATAAACGAGTAGCGTATTTTCGTTCCACTTTCATTTTGTTTGCATTCGTTGCTAGGTAACGACTAACGAGTCGATAGATCGCTGATTGCTCAGACGCACATCAGGTTGTGATATTTGTCTCCGTCTCCCTCCCACAGATGTTTACGCGCGCTATTCTTGTCACAGATTCATTGACGCACCGCTTTACCATGCGTTTAACGTGTGGCAAATTTACTGGTCGCACATGTGCGACTGGATGTACAATTCAGTCGCACACTCTCAAATTTTGGTCGCAGTCTGGTCTGGAGCCCTGAAATGACGCGAGGCGTTCAAGCTTCTCCGTTCCTCCGCTCGCTATGACGAAGCTGTGCGTTGACTGAACAACATGCGCACGTTTTTTTTTTGTTTTTTTTTGTTTTTTTCATAATCAATCCGCGGATCACGTGTGTGCCGAACCGAAGACATTGATCCGAACGGATCACGGATCAGTGATGATCCGTTGCACCACTAGTATTTATATATACAAATTAATTATACACACTACACACACATATATTATGTAAACACTAACTTTTATTTGGGATGCGATTAATCGCAATTAATCGTTGCCCATCCCTAAAGCCGATCCACATTTTCATGTTGATAAGAGCATTAAAATTAGAAAAAATAATGCGACAAAAAGACATTTAGAATAGATCAAAATGTGCAATGAATTGCGATTAATCGTGAGTTAACTATGCGATTAATCGTGATTAAATATTTTAATCGTTTGACAGCACTAATATACATATATTATATACACATGTATGAATGAGTCTTACTGCCATATACGGTCTGCATCCGGCGTCTCTGGTTTTGGCGATGGAGTCCACCAGCTGTCCGCTGATGCCAAAATCACACAGCTTAATGTTGCCCTTCCGGTCCAGGAGGATATTTGATGGCTTTATGTCTGTGGAGAGATCACGCAACAGCATCTAAACCCGAGAGTCTTACAAAACTAAACCGACGGACGTCAGAAATCTGCCTCTCTTACCTCTGTGAATAATTTTCAAGCTTTCTTTTAAGTGGTTAAGTGCTTTCACAGTCTGAAAACGACACAGAAGAGCACGTTAATCAACGCTAACCAACGCGTCTCTTATCGAAAGCTCTGAATAAAACATGCTACTCACAGCTAACGTTATTTTCCCTAAAATCTCCTCTGGAATCACTTCGTCTAAAGAGGAATAAACGAATTTGTAGAATTTGTCGAAGGAGATGGACATGAGCTCCATGCATATCCAGCAGTCTCCCTGAAAAGAGCAAAAAACACGTGTTTATGCGTTTAGAGAGTGAAAACATGAGGAAGAAAGCACAGACGAACCTCTCTGAAGAGAGCTCCGTAAAACTGGACGATGTAGGGGCAGTCGCTGCTCCTCATGACCACGTCTAGATCCATCAGCAGCTGCTTCTGCTCGCGCTCGTCCACCGTCGACCGGATCCTCTGCGCACACACACACACGAGCATTAGCAGAGTCTGATCCACATCTGACTATAGATTAAGGTTTAATTTTTTGTTAAGATATTTTGTCAAGCAACCATTTAGTTTTCGTATATTTTTGTAGATTTGGTGGAGGAATCAGAATCAGAATCAGAATGGGTTTATTCGCCCTGAATGTTTGTACATACAAGGAATTTACTTTGGCCGGAAGGTGCAAACATATAACATACAAGCATATAGGGTACATACTATAATAACACAAAAGTGTGCCCACATGGGGTACCTAATAAAGTAATAGTCCAGATATGATAAAGTGCAAAAATGAGTTCAAATTTGAGGTCAGTGTCACTGAGAGCTCCAGGCCTTGTTAAGTGAAGCTTATTATGAAAAAAGGGTCACCCTACAGCTTTTTTGATTAATATGTTATTATTAGTGTTTCCAAAATCTATTAATTGCGATTAATCACATCTAACATAAAAGTTTGTTTTATACAATATGTGTGTGTATGTTTGCAAATATTGACAGACACAAATATGTATGCATAAACAGTGTATACAGTATATATACAGTGTTTCCCCTAGAAATTTTTTCAGCAGCAGTGCTGTTAGGTGCCGGAGGTTGTTACCAAGCCGCGGTGGGCGGGGCGGTGTGCGGTTTGGGGAATTGCACCTCCGGGAGAATTTTTATGAGTTTGAAAAATGTAAATACATTTTTCATACACATTAGATCCATCTGCATGACAAGTTCCATCATTACGCTTATTCACTGCGTCCTAAACCTACGCCTTTGTTATTGTAAGAGGTTAGCGACCCCTAGCGGCGGAGAAAAATACATAATGTAGCTTTAATTATATTTTGACAGTTAAGGTCGTTATACTATAAAAAATAACCTGTAAGTTTTAAGCTTATGCTCATCTAGCCTGCATTTATTTAATCAAAAATACAGAAAAAAACAGTAGCCTAATATTGTGAAATACTATTACATGATGTTATTTTTTAATAATAAAAGAAACTTTAAAAAAAGAGCAGATATCATCATATTAGAATGTAGGGCTGGGTATTGACACAAATTTCACAATTCGATTCGATTTCGATTCATAAGCTTGCAATTCGATTCGATTTCGATTCCGTTTCGATTCAATATTAATTATTTTGGATATCAGACAGTTACAATAAATGGCTAATTTTCTCAAGGAAATCAAATCTCTTAACTAATGCTGTAAACTATGGGAGTCTAGTTGTAGTAGCCTGCTAGGATTCATTAGCCTATATGAAGGTAATAATGAACTGTTTTGTAGCTATACAAACACTTAAATTACACTTTTATTTATTTTTATAATAAGAAGATTATATAAACATTTAAATGGTGACTGTCATAAAAACTTGCCAGATTTATTCAAATATGCATTAAATATTGAAGAACATTAAGATTATAATGCATATGTAATATGGTGTATATATTTAGCAAAATACTCCTCTCTAGAGTTATTTTTCTAGCTGACTAACGAGTTGATGTGGGTTTTCTGAGGTAAATATGACGATACATGACATTGATTACAAGCTGTTTAACTGACGTCTTTCCACGGTTGAAACGCTGATTGAGCGAATCAATGTGACATGATACGGATTTGGATAAGTTGTACTCTATCTTTAACACACTTTCAGATGCTCATTCATGTTTATTTCGCGCTGTGACTGGTATTATTAAGCCGGAAGAGAGAGGACTATGAGCAGTAGGTGATACTTCCTCGTCCGGCTCATGGAAAAAGTTCGTACCGCTTTCTCCTTTCCACAAGTGCTCGCTGTCCCGTGGAGTCTCTCGTTGCTATGCAACCTTGAACAGAGGCGCGATTGGATAAACGAGCGCGCCGCCACCGCGTCACTTCTATTCTGAGTGGAGCGCGTATGGCTTATTTAAATTAACGAACGGCCCCTTATGGCAACGTGACATTAGCCTAATCGAAAATATTTCCATATATGGCTCTTTCCTCCGTTCTTGTCAACAAGTGGATTCAGAGCCACATTAGCAGCGCTGCCGGTCGCCATGTCTGTGTTTTTAGGTGTATAAGTGAATGAAGTGAATGTCATGATATTGCTGATCATGAAAAGATTTTGCGGCGGCGCTGAAAATCCAGCGGCGGCGCTGCGCCGCTGCTGAATACATTGTAGGGGAAACACTGATATATTAGTGCTGTCAAACGATTAAAGTATGTAATAACGATTAATCACATTTATGCCATGGTTGACTCGCGATTAATCACATTAATGCCATAGTTGACTCGCGATTAATCACATTAATGCCATAGTTGACTCGCGATTAAACGTATTAATGCCAAAGTTGACTCACGATTAATCACATTAATGCCATAGTTGACTTACGATTAATCACATTAATGCCATAGTTGACTCGCGATTAATCACATTAATGTCATAGTTGACTCGCGATTAATCACATTAATGCCATAGTTGACTCGCGATTAATCACATTAATGCCATAGTTGACTCGCGATTAATCACATTAATGCCATAGTTGACTCGCGATTAATCACATTAATGTCATAGTTGACTCGCGATTAATCACATTAATGCCATAGTTGACTCGTGATTAATCGTATTAATACCATAGTTAACTCGCGATTAATCACATTAATGTCATAGTTGGCTCGCGATTAATCGTATTAATGCCATAATTAACTCACGATTAATCACATTAATGCCATAGTTGACTCGTGATTAATCGTATTAATGCCATAGTTAACTCGCGATTAATCACATTAATGTCATAGTTGGCTCGCGATTAATCGTATTAATGCCATAATTAACTCGCGATTAATCACATTAATGCCATAGTTGACTCGTGATTAATCGTATTAATGCCATAGTTAACTCGCGATTAATCACATTAATGTCATAGTTGGCTCGCGATTAATCGTATTAATGCCATAATTAACTCGCGATTAATCACATTAATGTCATAGTTGACTCGTGATTAATCACATTAATGCCATAGTTGACTCGCGATTGTGCTGCGATGATGATAGCTCAGTTCACAACAAAAAAACACACAGATCACTTTGGTCAACTTTTAAAAGTAGACTTCCATTCAGAATCTTACTGGCATCCATTTCGCTCGTCATCCACTCAGACTCTATGTTAACTTACTATATGTGTGTGTGTGTGTGTGTGTGTGTGTGTGTGTTACTAGTTGCATCAAGCTATCTTCAATATTGTTAGATCTTGCACGACGAACCTCACGAAATTGATCGAATCCAACAAATCTAACTGTTTATTTTGACTAATTTTCTTGCACACACAACCTTCATTTCTAGTCTGGTAACCTGCCACAACTTTGTCTTCTTGGTCTATACTGGCTCAATTTGCATTAAGCAAGCTTGCCTTTTTTAGAAAGTTTTGCCACTTTTGTGTTCGATTTTTATCTGTGAAACAAGTTTAACTTTCAAAAACAACCTAAAGTATGAATTAAGCCTATGATATCTGAACTCTTACAAATGATGCTTCCAAAAGATGATTTTCAGAGTGATGTAATAGAAGAATCATTTTTGGTTCCACAAAGAACACAATTTAGAAAAAGAATCAATTTAAAGAATCTTTTGTGGAATGGAAAGATTCCGTGGATGTTGAAGGTTCTAAACGGAACCATTGAAGCCAATAAAGACAAGTGTGTCTTACTTTGACAGCCATGATTTGTCCACTGGGCTTGTGCGCCATCTTGTTGACGGATCCATACGCTCCTCGACCGATCTCCCCGAGATCCTTCAGGTCTTCCGCCGTGAAGTCCCAGTGCTGCTCCGGAGAGATCTTCAGCTTCCCGGACGACTCGATACTGTGTGTCCGCAGCCGTTCTCTGAGAATGCAAAGAGGTTCACGGCTGAGCTTGGAAAGACCAAACCGAAGACGAGTCGTGTTTAAACGCTCAGATGCAGGACGTGTAGATAGAAATGCCACTATATCATCGTAATAATTCTACACTTCCACGAATCACGATTGTTCTCATTTGACAAATTTCTTTTTACATTTCAGCAGAATTATTGCACGTTAAAGAGAACGTCAACTCGTACAAATCTACTATACACATTTCCAGAGATTTTAGCAGATTATATAAAGAACAACAATATAGAGGGAATGCATTGACGTCACTTCTCCTTGGCAAAAGAGCGTCTGCGTGACTCGATTTAACCGCGAAAACGAGAGTTAAACAAACGATTATCAGTTTAAACTAAAGGTTGGACTCGACATAGTGTCCCTCAAAACTTACCAAAGATTCAGTGATCCATGGATATTGGCATCTAGCCAGGAATCGTGTGTATGTGTCTGATTTTTCGATGCCGGGGAAATACAATAAGCAAATTTTCCTGTGAATGCTTTATAGAGCCAGGCCGATATTATCGGCCGATATTAGGCATTTTCCAAACTATCAGTATCGGCAGTTATAATGGCAGATAAATGAATATTTCAAAAATAAAATAAAAACGGACGAAACGCGCTTGAACCATGTCATGAGTGTTGGAGTTGTATAGTTTGTCCACCAGAGGGCACTCTACACCGTTCCTGTTGGCAACACTCGTTGAGTTAGTCACGATACATACATTGCTTGAATAACAATTAAAAGAACATCCCCATCAGTTCTCTTAACTCAAATAAGCATGACAAAATTTGTGACTATCATGTCAAGTCAAAATAAATAAATAAATAAAATATCGGCCGATATATCGGAATATCGGATTTTAAACCCAAAAATATTTGTATCGGTATCGTCCTTCAAAATCCTCTCTAATGGGCTCTAATGCTTTATATAAACACTAGGGATGCACAATATATCGGTCGGCATATCGTTATCGGCCGATATACGTTCATTTTTAATGTTACCGTTATCGGCCTGGTAAGAAAATGTGGCCGATACATTAAAGCCGATAAATAATGTATTATTCCCTTCAGCTGAGACACTTGTTGAGCACTGTTTATGTTTTATATCTTGAAATATGATCGAAATCTCTTCAAAAAATGAAAATACGGTTCGGTACAACACATGCAGCGCAAATCTGTCATATCGGCTATACAACACTATAATGAGAACATCATTATAATTGTGCGCTTGGGCCATGGATTTAATTGTGAGACTTTTGTTTTTGTCATCAGGCTCTCAAAATTAGATAAAAATTTGGATTTAAGATTATCGGCCGATATATCGGTTATCGGCTTTCAAATATAAAGAATTATCGGTATCGGCCAAAACTTTCATATCGGTGCAAAATAATCGGGGTGATCACTTATATCAATGTTAAATCATATCGTCCAGCCCTAAAACTTGTATAGTTTTTTTGTCAGTGTTTATTTAAAAAACAATTATGCAGAATATACGCTGTTTAATCGATGAGTTGTCAATACAATATTTAACAATACAATACACAGGGTATGATTTCACCCCTAAATTCAGCATTTTGACACTAAATGATAACTGCAAATCCACCTTTCTCTCCACGGTCCGGTTGTTTCAGTGAATTGTTCTGTAGTTTTCTTTGTCAAATCTAGTTGTACAGTCGCTCTTTCCCGAATTAGATGTGTTTTTTGCGGCATTCACGCTGATAGCAAATGCAAATCACACACACACACCCTCTATAGTTTATATTTCACTACAATACAGGCCATCACAGGAGTTGGATCTGAACTCTGCAAGAAGGTGATTGAGTTTCATCAATGTTTCAGTTTCAGTCCGAGGACCCGTACTCACATGTGTGGGTTCTGGAAAGGAAGTCCGGCAGTGTTCAGAGTGATTCTGGAAGTAGTTTTGACTGGAGGACTGGCGAAATTTAACTTCAGGGCTTTACGTTTACCTGCCAGAGGAGGAAGAGACACACACACACACACTCAGACAGCTTGAAGACAGAGTCGCGGGTGTATTTTGTTCAGGCTGCCACAGGAGGATGATTACGATGATGATGACATCTATAACTACGCCATGGAAGATGTGGGAAGAGACGAGAGTTGACTAGAGACATGCACATCTGAGCACCAGGAGAGGAACCCGAGAGCCAGATTTCCTAAAGCCATCGGGACACGCTGAGGGTTTGAAACATGTTCAATGTGTGCGGGGTGGAGGACGACGACGGCTTTAGCAAATCTGGCAGCAGAGGACAGTGACTGCAGTCCGACATGCTCAAACCCTGCGTTTAACACCAGCAAATCCTTCACATCTACTGTGTGTCCAACAATAGAGCGTTAAACAGATCTGATCACATCCGGACACAAAACAGAAGATACAGGACTTACCTTCACCTCATGCAACACCCAACACAACATGATGTATGAATCGATCATGGGCACCACAAGCGAGGGACGCAGCGTCCATCATAAGCACTATAAATACCACCACGGCAATGAAGACCGTGCAAACAACATGACAACCAGTGATGCATTGAATTTTTATTGACCAAAAGATCGAAAACGGCCAAAACCGAAAATTAAGTTTAGGCAATTAAATCTGGTCAAAGTGAACTCTTTATGCTGTTTTCAGGTGGTAAACTAAAGGTCTTTGCAGTAAAGTTATTGATTATTTGATATTGCTACTCTAGAATCTAACATGCATCAAAATGCATAATTGAAGAAGTGGTAGTTCCTTTTTGCACAATTTTGGTGCATCACTAGACGAAACTTTAAAATAACGTTAAAAGACACACCATTACACACCAAATACAACACTGAGTTTGACTGCATTCGTAAGGAATAATACATTAAAGTGAATTATTTAGAAAATGTGGGTTATAATATCTTTAAATTACGGAAGCCCTGAACTGCAACGTAAGAAAAAAAAAGCTCGAATTTCGGCTTTAATCTCGAAACACCTCGACTTTAATCTCGAAACGCCTCGGCTTTAATCTCGCAACGCCTCGGCTTTAATCTCGAAACGCCTCGGCTTTAATCTCGCAACGCCTCGGCTTTAATCTCGCAACGCCTCGGCTTTAATCTCGCAACGCCTCGGCTTTAATCTCGAAACGCCTCGGCTTTAATCTCGCAACGTCTCGGCTTTCATCTCGAAACGTCTCGGCTTTCATCTCGCAACGTCTCGGCTTTCATCTCGCAACGTCTCGGCTTTAATCTCGCAACGTCTCGGCTTTAATCTCGCAACGTCTCGGCTTTAATCTCGCAACGTCTCGGCTTTCATCTCGAAACGTCTCGGCTTTCATCTCGAAACGTCTCGGCTTTCATCTCGAAACGTCTCGGCTTTCATCTCGAATCGTCTCGGCTTTCATCTCGAAACGTCTCGGCTTTCATCTCGAAACGTCTCGGCTTTCATCTCGAAACGTTTCGGCTTTAATCTCGAAACGTTTCGGCTTTAATCTCGAAACGTTTCGGCTTTAATCTCGAAACGTTTCGACTTTAATCTCGAAACGTTTCGACTTTAATCTCGAAACGTTTCGACTTTAATCTCGAAACGTCTCGACTTTAATCTCGAAACGTCTCGACTTTAATCTCGAAACGTCTCGGCTTTAATCTCGAAACGCCTCGGCTTTAATCTCGCAACGTCTCGGCTTTAATCTCGAAACGTCTCGGCTTTCATCTCGAAACGTCTCGGCTTTCATCTCGAAACGTCTCGGCTTTAATCTCGCAACGTCTCGGCTTTAATCTCGCAACGTCTCGGCTTTAATCTCGCAACGTCTCGGCTTTAATCTCGAAACGTCTCGGCTTTCATCTCGCAACGTCTCGGCTTTAATCTCGAAACGTCTCGGCTTTAATCTCGAAACGTCTCGGCTTTCATCTCGAAACGTCTCGGCTTTCATCTCGCAACGTCTCGGCTTTCATCTCGCAACGTCTCGGCTTTAATCTCGCAACGTCTCGGCTTTAATCTCGCAACGTCTCGGCTTTAATCTCGCAACGTCTCGGCTTTCATCTCGCAACGTCTCGGCTTTCATCTCGAAACGTCTCGGCTTTCATCTCGAAACGTCTCGGCTTTCATCTCGAAACGTCTCGGCTTTCATCTCGAAACGTCTCGGCTTTCATCTCGAAACGTTTCGGCTTTAATCTCGAAACGTTTCGGCTTTAATCTCGAAACGTTTCGACTTTAATCTCAAAACGTCTCGACTTTAATCTCGAAACGTCTCGGCTTTAATCTCGAAACGTCTCGGCTTTAATCTCGAAACGCCTCGGTTTTAATCTCGAGTGTTGAAAAACACTTTTCAGACTGGATGGATATATCCAGCTTTATGAATGAATGAGGCATTTATATAGCTTTATATGTCTACTAGGCCTTTCATATGTCTACTAGGCCTACACAAAGCGCTTTACAACAATCATATCAGATATTCTTTCCTCAACCACCATTAGTGGTTATTAAATCTGAGGAAAAAAATCACAGGATAAAAGTAAAAAGCTACTATTTTGCGTTGATCCATGGCAGTTTGACTTCACAAGTGCATTTCTTTACACACGCGCGCGCGAGCCTGTGTACACGCACTGTTATGAATATGGAAGACTGTATTATCGTAATGTTTTGACTTTAGTCTCGAAACGTTTCGACTTAAAAAAAATTGTAAAAAAAAAAAAAAAAAATCTAGCATTTCGAGATTAAAGTCGAAACGTTTTTGTGTGTACATTTTTTTTTTTTTTACGTTGCGGTTCAGGGCTTCCGTATTAAATTACTTATAGGCAAATTATTTTATATTATTACATCCTTTCCCAATATTTGTGTATTTTGGCCAAAAGCCCTACATAATTTCTGAGAAGATAAAATCTTTACTTTTATTTTGCTATAATAACAGGGTATTTGTGTGACACTATTTCTGCTCTTCTCATAATAAAGAGATGCAGATTTCAGCTCACAGTCCTAAGGAATTATGGGAAGGACTTTTTAAAGATGTTGTAGTTGACAAAACATTTACAGAGCTATCATTCACAGCAATAATTAAATACTTCTGTTCCCATAGACAAGCTAGATGTGTGAATTAGTGAAAATGAATGTGTGTCGATTGAGAAACATTATTTAATCCCCAAAAAATAGCTTCAGAATAATAGAGAATTCATGTCTATCGAGTCTTTTTGAGGGAAAAGACATCTCGGTGAACTAAAGGACTAGCCTATTTTCCCTCCGCCACAAGAATGTGAGGATTGGACTACCAGAGGAACAGCATTTCTGGAAATCTCACGGCATGTGCGTCCATGTCCCAACAAGCTTGTGTTTGTTCGAGATGCACATGCCAAAAACATCCCAGCACCAGCAGTGCTCGAACACTAAACAAAATGCAAACCCAAGAAACCGGGAAGACAACTACATCCCCCAAGGCGATAATAATCACTGCACCGGTTAGTAGAAAAGCATCTAAAACACCAGAGGAAACAACCACCAGAGCTTCCATTACTGTGTGTGAATGAAACACCAGAAACTGATCGATGCAGAAATACACTTGTGATTCTTTCAAGTAAAGGCTGATTTTGATGGACTGAATCAAATGAAAGTGAGGACCAATCGACCGTCCAGAAGTCAATGGAAGCTCGAAGCTTTAGACTTGTGCCGACTTCTCGCTGAACTCCTCTTTATGTGGATGTCTGGTACAGACGAACATTTGAGTTATCGAACGGATGCGAGTTAGCCTATTTAATTACAACATCTAAAAGGGAAGGGTGACCGAAATAATGCTGTTATAATAACACAGCCTGATGATAAATGAGATGAGCACAAAAATACGTAGGAAATACCACAATATTTACGAAAAAACTACGAATTTGCAGTACCGATCAAAGTTTTAGGGGCTATATAAGATTTTTTTAATGTTAAAGGGATAGTTCACCATGAAATGAAAATTAAATCGTAATTTACTCACCCTGGCGTTGTTCTAAAGCCGTATGCCTTTTATGGATCAAACATTTAATGTCATGCTATAGTCACAGCTGTACTGTTTTTATAAGTCTGGAATATTGCGGTTTATGAAGGTTTTACTGATTTTCTTGCAGTCTCCATTCACTTATACAGCAAGCATGTACGAATGTTTATATATATGAAGAGTTAATCTGTAAATTACCCAGATATCTCAGTATATTGGGTAGGTTAAAGGAAAAACTAAAATAGAGACATACCGATATATCGGCAGACCGATTTTATCGTCCGATATTAGGCATTTTCCAAACTATCGGTATCGGCAAAACGGACGAAACACGCTTCAACCATGTCATGAGTGTTGGAGTTGTATAGTTTGTCCACCAGAGGGCACTCTACACATCCCTGTTGGCTACACTCGTGTATAACGCGCAACAAATCCTGTCCATAAAAGTTAGCTTTTCTTTTACACGTTTGAAATCCAACGACGCCAAGTGTGCGTTACAGACTGTCGTTCTGTAACGGATTTAGATTGGAATTGCTAAATAGTAGGTTTTAGGAGGCAGACAGCAACTGATGGTTTGATGTAGCTTGATAGAAAGAATTTAAAAAGTGCAGGTAAAGGGATAAGCAAGCTGACATTGTAATTATAAGGTAGCTTTTAAGGCAATGTAGGGACTACTTATTATTTTATTTATCAGAACTTTAATATATTTTGATGTTTCTCTGTTCTGTTGTGACAATAAAAGAAACAAGTTTCTTTTTAAAATGCATTATCATATTATTGTAGTTAAAAGTCATAAATAACTACAAATAACTAATGTTAGGAAAATCTGTTAATGTTTTGTTGCGCGTTTCTGAAATAAAATTTTAAAAAAATATCGGCCGATATATCGGATATCAACAAATATTTGTATCAGTATCGGCCTTCAAAATCCTTTATCGGTCGGGCTCTAAACTACAACTTCTAACATTGGACTACAACTGGCCCTACATGGCTTTCGCAGGTGTTGGTAATCACTGTTGATTGTCCTGATGTGTTTGAACACAGTTTATGGATTGTTACATTTATTGTCTGTATGCCCTGAGGATGGTCTTTTGACCGAAAGCTTGGTGATACAATTTGCTTTAAGGATTTAAGTGTGCGGACAGTTTATTTATTTTTTGAGATGTCTAGTCTTGTCTGTAGGGTTGGGTATCGAGAATCGAGTATCGATTGGAACCGGGACTAACTTTTCGTTTTTCCCGGAATCGTTCAAAAGTTAAAATTTTTTCGATATTCACAGTCCGCCGAGCGGAAGAAGAAACCGCTGAACAACACCAACGAAGAAGCGTCTACCGGAAGTGTTGGCATAACCGCGTGAGTCGAACATGAGTAGCTTACGTCGGCGATCCAAAGTGTGGCTTCACTTTTCTAAAAATAACAAAATCTCGGCAAAATGCAAAATTTGTGACAAAAGGAGTATTTTTACAGAAGGAGTATTTCCTTCAGAAAGGCTGTTGGTTAGCAAGGTTAGCTAAACTTTTTTGACCCTGCCTCTTAAAAGAATCAGAATCGAGAATCGTTAGGAACCGGAATCGAAACAAGGAATCGGAATCAGAATCGTTCAAATTCAAACGATACCCAACCCTACTTGTCTGTCTGTCTGAATGCAGTGAAACTCCTTCAAATGGATCAAACATTTAATAATAAATAATAATAATCACAGAATGATCCCATGTGATGTGTGCCGTATATTACAACTAGGGTTGGGTATCGAGAATAGAGTATCGATTGGAACCGAGACTAACTTTTCGTTTTTCCCGGAAACGTTCAAAAGTTAAAATTTCGATTTCTAGTTTCGATATTCACAGTCCGCCGAGCGGAAGAAGAAACTGCTGAACAACACCAACGAAGAAGCGTCTACCGGAAGTGTTGGCATAACCACGCGAGTCGAACATGAGTAGCTTACGTCGATGATCCAAAGTGTGGCTTCACTTTTCTAAAAATAACGAAATCTCGGCAAAATGCAAAATTTGTGACAAAAGGAGTATTTTTACAGAAGGAGTATTTCCTTCAGAATGGATTATTTACCTCAGAAAGACCATTGGTTAGCAAGGTTAGCTAAACTTTTTTGACCCTGCCTCTTAAAAGAATCGGAATCGAGAATCGTTAGGAACCGGAATCGAAACAAGGAATCGGAATCAGAATCGTTCAAATTCAAACGATACCCAACCCTACTTGTCTGTCTGTCTGAATGCGGTGGAACTCCTTCAAATGGATCAAACATTTAATAATAAATAATAATAATCACAGAATGATCCCATTTGATGTGTGCCGTATATTACAAGTAGGGTTGGGTATCGAGAATCGAGTATCGATTGGAACCGAGACTAACTTTTCGTTTTTCCCGGAATCGTTCAAAAGTTAAAATTTCGATTCCTAGTTTCGATATTCACAGTCCGCCGAGCGGAAGAAGAAACCGCTGAACAACACCAACGAAGAAGCGTCTACCGGAAGTGTTGGCATAACCGCGAGTCGAACATGAGTACCTTACGTCGGCGATCCAAAGTGTGGCTTCACTTTTCTAAAAATAACGAAATCTCGGCAAAATGCAAAATTTGTGACAGAAGGAGTATTTTTACAGAAGGAGTATTACCTTCAGAAAGAATTATTTCCTTCAGAAAGGCCGTTGGTTAGCAAGGTTAGCTAAACTTTTTTGACCCTGCCTCTTAAAAGAATCAGAATCGAGAATCGTTAGGAACCGGAATCGAAACAAGGAATCGGAATCAGAATCGTTCAAATTCAAACGATACCCAACCCTACTTGTCTGTCTGTCTGAATGCAGTGAAACTCCTTCAAATGGATCAAACATTTAATAATAAATAATAATAATCACAGAATGATCCCATGTGATGTGTGCCGTATATTACAACTAGGGTTGGGTATCGAGAATAGAGTATCGATTGGAACCGAGACTAACTTTTCGTTTTTCCCGGAAACGTTCAAAAGTTAAAATTTCGATTCCTAGTTTCGATATTCACAGTCCGCCGAGCGGAAGAAGAAACCGCTGAACAACACCAACGAAGAAGAGTCTACCGGAAGTGTTGGCATAACCGCGTGAGTCGAACATGAGTAGCTTACGTCGGTGATCCAAAGTGTGGCTTCACTTTTCTAAAAATAACGAAATCTCGGCAAAATTTGTGACAAAAGGAGTATTTTTACAGAAGGAGTATTTCCTTCAGAAAGGCCGTTGGTTAGCAAGGTTAGCTAAACTTTTTTGACCCTGCCTCTTAAAAGAATCGGAATCGAGAATCGTTAGGAACCGGAATCGAAACAAGGAATCGGAATCAGAATCGTTCAAATTCAAACGATACCCAACCCTACTTGTCTGTCTGTCTGAATGCGGTGGAACTCCTTCAAATGGATCAAACATTTAATAATAAATAATAATAATCACAGAATGATCCCATGTGACGTGTGCCGTACATTACAAGTGTTCTGGGCGTATACGATCGGGTTTGGTTAAAAAACAAAACGAAATTGAATGTATTATTTAATGTACAAAATTCTTTGCAATTGGTCTTCTGTGCACTGTCATGGGACGTACGCATTCGGTCATGAGACTGTAAGCACACAGTCACAGTCTGTAATTCACTCTGTCTCGGTCCGAGAAAGCACGCAAGTTGTGAGAAATCAAGATTTACAACTGGCAATTACACCGCCTGGTCAAAAAAATAATTATAATAATGTTGCTTTGTGGATTTAAATAGGCAAATGCTTAAGAGTCTATGACTGGATCATTATTGCATTTTGTTTCTAGCATTTATGTTTTGGAAACAGTTCTTCCAACCCTAATTGATGGAGTGTGTAGCATAAACACTCATGTAGGGAAAGACGACATTCATCAGGCTCAAACTGTGAAAGAATGATTCTTCATGCTCCTCACAACCATTTTCACACATGAATCGGCTTCTGAGTCCAAATTAAACTCATTGACTATCAAAGATCTGGACTCAAGAGTCCCAAATTCAAGCTACACACTCCATCAATTAGGGTTAGATGAACTTTTTTGCCTATTTCAATCCAAACAGTGACTTTTTTATTCTGGTCGGGCAGTGAACATCAGCAAGAAGTCTCAAAAAAGAAGTATCCGTGTACTTTCTTTACAAAGTGCAAGCAAGATTTTAATTTCTCATTCTGTTGTCCATTAAAGATAGACAGGCGTACGGCATAAGAACAACACCAGGGTGAGTAAATGATGCCTTTCATTTAAGGATGAAGTTGATCTAGGACTCTCTCTGGACAGAGCGTTCAGTCGTAGACCGGCACAAGTCTAGCAGAGCCCGCGTGAGGACAGATTAGTGTCGAGGACAGACGACAGGCTTCCCCAGACGCGAGCACAGCGGACAGACACGGTTTAGGAGGCGTGGCTTACTTTGGGGAAGTCCAGACAGGTTTATCTGAAAGCCTGGTGGTGAGAAGAACAACGAACTCATCAACACAATCTGGAATAACACCTTCATTTTGTCTCCATAACCTGATCTTCACAGCCATAAAGTTCGCATTAAACCTCGAAATGTAAGAGAACTGGCTCCTGTTGAGCATCTGAGCCGCACTAAAGCAAACCTTTGTGCCGGGATGTGCATCAGCGAACCGGTAAACAACATGGGAAACATGCAGGAGTTTCACACACAACAGCAACCGGAAATCAGCAGAATGTAAAATAAAGGAAAATACCAGACTGAATAAAAACAAACATGAAGAAGAGACAGTAAAATATTCGGCAGTTCTGGGAAGAACAATTTCACAAGGTCTCACCGTGGTCCGGCATCAGGGAGGATTGTGGGTAAGAGGAGGCAAGAGATAAAGGAGAGAAAGATTATGCATTTCATAAAACACATTTAAAACAATCCGTCCAGCTGAACGTCACAGCGTTAAGAAATGCAGCCTATGTTGGAAAAAGATTAATGTTAGGTGACTTCATAACAGATATGCTGAAAAACATTGATTAGATTTGAAAATTTTCTCACAGTAAATGTCAAAAAGAAACACAGCAACTGAATTAAAAGTAAAACTACAATATTAGTTCTATTTAGAACTTTGAAAAAAATCGTTTTTACAGTCTAGCAACACGAATCCGTCATGAACGTGATCTACAAAAGGTTTATCTGAACACAAGAACGCTGAGATTAACTCAGAAGATGATTCATGTGCGTTTCCTCCTAAATGTGTAAACGTGAAACCAATGAATAACCTTCCCAAACAAACCAGCAAACCACATCCGACAGCGCGTTCAGGAAATACTGGACTGGTGCGATGTTGGAGAAGCACGGATAAAATGAGAAACAAAAACAGGCCAATGGGTTTTTACGTTGAGATTCAAACTGAACTTCATCCTAGAAGTAAAATTTAGTGAACTGGATAATGACTGTCCCATAAAGAAACTGATACCAGAGTAAAACAGAATTACATAAGCAGAAGTTCTACACAAAACTATCATAGAACGTGTCTGCTTCATTTTTCACCACAAAATTAAGAATTGCATAAAGTAAATAATTCTCTTTACTGTTTTACTGGCATTTTTACTTCAGCACCTTCAGATATTGGTGTATTTTTAATACAAAATACAATGTCCATGTTCAAACCAGCACATATCTTTTAACCACTACAACCATTACCAAATTAAGCCAAGACCATTGAAAGAGTCGCATTTCGAGCTAAAATTAGTACTAATTACTGCAAGAGCTGCTGTCTGCTTTCCACACATATCCACATTTGATGTTAAACACAAAAATGTACACTATTATGGCTGGTTAATGTCCTAAATTAACCTACATTCTACCTACCTAAAAAATGTTATGGTAGATAATGCCCTAAATGACTTGATCACAAAAATATCAATCATAAACATATATCATGTGGTAATTTGAAACATAAAAATAGCCGAAACCGATTTATGTTGTAGTTAATGTCAGGGGTTTTCAAAATGAAAAGATTAGAGGAAAAGAGTGTAAAATAAATCATAATAAAAAAAAGTTCTATCTATACATAAAACATACATAAATAAATTACAAAATAAGATAAAAATATATAAAATAAACGGTGATTAAAATAAATAAGCAAACATGTAAATATATAAATGAATAAAAATAGAATACAATAAGTAAACAAATTAGTAAATTATTAGGCTAAATAAGGAAATGACTACAAGAGTAAAGTACAATAATGTGAAGAAAAACCTAAAGTAACAGGGCATTTGGATATTTATAATATTATGTTTTTATTGTATAACGTTTGTATTTAAAAATAAACTATTTAAGATGTCTTTAAAATGTTAATGGTCATATATGGGCCCTTATTAGCATCTAAAAGATTGAAAACCCCCTGGTTTATGTGATTGATACATCATCTAGACTAGCATCTTTCCATTGATTCAAGTGTCACTTCCAAAAGAAATCAGCTTTAAAAGTGTGTGGTGATCCACAAATGATTTAAACAACATCTTAATCTTTTCATTGATTAATAAACAATATTTTAATCGCCAAAAATCCACGCGCATTTACCTGAATTTCATATTAGCATAAGGTATCGTTAGCCTGTTAGCCCTCCAGCTAACCATGTCAACAAACTCCAATGACAGTCAGAAAACAAACGACGGCGTTAAACTAATGAATGTAAAACTAAGAGAGACATGGACATACAAATATTAATTCATACACAGTTTGCGTAGTAAATAATGCATTTATCAGACTGCGAAGTGAAATTTTCACAGGCCTGTCAGTGTTTGACTAAAGGAGTTAGCCGTGCGGCTAACAAGACTCTAACATTAGAATGAAAACTACAAGTTTTAAGGCTACTGGTTTGAAATAACACTCATTCAGAGCTAGTAAATGCGATGCTAAATCAATGGATGAGTTAGAGCTGCAGCGCTGATAACGCAGAGTGTGTGTGTGTGATGTGTGTAAACTGTCATCGGATGTGGTGATGATATAATGCTGCGGCTCGGTTCGGGCGGCTCGGGTGTGTTTCTGACCTTGCATGCTGCTCATGGTGCTCATGCTGCTGCTGCTGATGTGCTGCTGCGGGCTCTGGCTCGGGTGCTGCTGTGCGCAGCTGGAGGAGGAGGAGGAGGAGGATGAAGGGTTACTACTGGAGCTGGACGTCGCCATTTGGGTTTGACTTCCAGCAGCCAGCGCTGGGCTGCAATGCAGAGAGAGAGAGAGACACACAGCAGACAGCAGTCTCTCTCTCTCTCTCTCTCTCTCTCTCTCTCTCTCTCTCTCTCTCTCTCTCTCTCTCTCTCTCTCTCTCTCTCTCTCTCTCTCTCTCTCTCTCTCTCTCTCTCTCTCTCTCTCTCTCTCTCTCTCTCTCTCTCTCTCTCTCTCTCAAACACACACAGTTGGAAAATATTTTGTGAACGTCATATGAATTAATACCATAGAAAACAAAGCAAAACAATTAAATAAAAATAATAAAATAATAGCAGCAAAAAAAACCAAGATGAATAAAATATAATACAAAATATTACAAAACGCCGTATAGAGCAAAACAAACCAACAAAATAAATAAACCGGTAAGCATATGTATAAAATAACATGAAACAGAGCAAAACAAAACAGAACAAAATAAATTTAAAAAAAAGAAAATATACATAATAAATATTGTTAACTATTTGTACAACATTCTTTATTCACCTTTTAAGGAAATCTTTTAAGGTTTATCAGAATTTCATTTGACCCAGACTATGAGATTGACCATGCCAATAATAGAATAGAATATTCTATTATAGAATCCATGTGAATAGAAATAGAATAGAATAGAATAGAATATTGTGTGCAAATAATGCAAAAAGCGGAAATAGAAAAAAAAAATACCGCAATAACAAGTCAGTATGGTATTCAGCTTTTTACTGGTTTAAAAATATTATAGGCCTATAATTAGGCTATATTTAATAAAATATAATTAATAATTATAATTTAAAAAATATATAATTAAATAATCGACATATTTAAATTAAATAAAAAAAAATATTAATGAATAAACATGTATATGAAGAGTTCAGATGCAAAAGCCTCTAAATGCCATTTGAAATTTTCTTCTTTAATGATGATTTTTGTCAAGCTTGTATATTTAAGTTCAGTGATTTCACTTAAATGGCAATGATAATTACCTATTAATTGTTATTTAAGTGAAATTACTGAACTTAAATATACAAGTTCGACAAAAATCATCATTAAAGAAGAAACTTTCAAATGGCATTTAGAGGCTTTTGCATCTGAACTCTTCATTGTTTGTTTGACTGGTTCTCGTTTGCGTTGTTAATACATCCAATGTGAGGTAAACATCATTTCCCATAATGCTTCATCCGTCTTATCCGGAAAATTGTACAGTTGTAAAGTTCAGAGAGATGTTAATAAACTCATATAAATACAGAAGAGTCCAAATGAAGAACAAGATCAGAGTCTCGTTTTCTCGGATCATCTTGAGAGTGTGTAATTTATTAAAGTCAGTGTTTTTCTCGCTGGCGACTTACGTGCAGGTAAATGTTGCTTCAGGGTTATTGCATACTCTGAATGTACATAAGAGGTGATTATTGTTAATTAACGCTTATTTGTGTATTTATCTTCAGATTACACAGATTCGGATGCTGTTGTGTGGATGGTGAGGCTTCACTTTCACCTTAAATCATGTTTGTGGTCTGATTTTGTGTTATGTTTATTTCTGTAGGTTGTTCCAGCTGGATTGTGCTTCATAATTTCAGAGACAATGTATGCAATATAACAAAATATAAAAGGACTTTGATAATTTGCTGTCAACAACAAATCCAGCTGAGCGATTCTGCCATCTAGTGGACTGAAGTAGCATCACGCCAGAAATCACAGTTATTTACATGTGTAACATAGGTTTATTGACAACAATAGAAATAAAGCACAATGTTATGCAAAACAACACCAACAAGAGTCGATAAATATAGACTCTGTACAAATGAACTTAAGTGTGTAACTTTGTATAGTTATAACTAGACATGAATGACGTCCATTACATTACAACAATAATGCTTGAATAATGAGCGATCGTTTCGCTTGATAAGACCCTTATTCATCGTCTGGTGTCGTTTAAAGCCCTTTGAAGCTGCACTGAAACTCTCATTTGGACCTTGAACCGTTTGGACCCCATTGAAGTCCATTATATGGAGAAAATCCTGGAATGTTTTCATCAAAAACCTTAATTTCTTTTCGACTGAAGAATAAAGGACATGGACATCTTGGATGACATGGGGGTGAGTAAATTATCAGCAACAGTTTTTTTAAAAGTGAACTACTCCTTTAAGAGCAGCTGCGGTGATTGTCAGTCGCTGTCATGAATAAATCCTGTAAAAACTACAGAGCCATCGCCAACGACTGATGACGTATTGCTCCATTTCGTAGTGGAATATTTTCAACCTTGGAATTGGAATTGAGCCTTACTTATTCCTCTAAATTGCAAAGATGATACAGCCTTCAGTATAACATAAAACAACAACATTCAGTATAACTTAAAACAACAATATACCGTATAAAGAGCTGAGCAAAGAACAATCAGAAATAACAGACATCAAGAGGGACACGTTTCTGCCTGCTACTATACACTCAAATTAGATCCAGCTCAAAATTCTCCCCGTCACATGATTGGTTTGTCCCAAATCTGCTTGTTCAGGTCCTGTATAGTCGTGCTGGAGAAGGTCAGGCTGTTGAGGATCCTGAGTCCTCATGGTCGGCTTTGGCAGTTTGACCTTCTCTTTCTCTCTTCCTCTCCTCCAGCTCCTTCTGGATCTTGAAGACCTTCTCAGCAACAAAGTGGTAATACTCATCCTGACCACAAGACACATATAAAAAAAAAACCACTGAACAGCTTTTGTGGTTTAAACAACAACGGTAAACAAACAAATAAATAAAAATGAAATATCCACAAGTTTCCTATGTCCCATGAGGCCTTGCGTCAAAAGTGGACGCGACTTCCGGTTGGAAGTAAACAAAGCGCGACTTGACATGCTTGACACTCGTTCATTCAACAGTTGACAGTCATTCAAGTTATAGCGATCCAAACTAGCTAACGATGTGGGAACACAACCTCAACGAAATTCAAAAGGGTGAAATAACAGTATCTTTACCCTCCGCTGTAGTTGATTGGGAGTATTATAATATTATCTGATTACTGAACTTAAATATACAAGTTTGATAAAAAAATCATCATTAAAGAAGAAAATTTCAAATGGCATTTAGAGGCTTTTGCATCTGAACTCTTCATATATATCGAAAATATATATATATATATAACTATATATCGCGTTCCCGAGTGCGGGTTTATGTCAATTTTAGGGTTGGTGATGTCACTAACCCGGGAGGAATGTCGTGTAGTCCCTACCAGCCGTTTGTTGTAGTCCTTAAAAAGCTATTTCTTTAAAAGCAGTTTCTTTGAACTTTGAGTATAACTTTGCAGATGCTGTTTATGCACAAATTATAATCAACCACCCCTTAAATAAATTAAATTTATTTCTGAAATACATAACCTAGTTACCTCATAACAGATCAGTCTGAATGTACATTTTCTGTAAAGCTGCTTTTAAAACGATGTGTATTGTGAAAAGCGCTACACAAATACAGTAAATGTGAATTGAAAGTTTATATCCTTACCCTGCTGTTTGCAAACTCACACAACTTCCCTTCCACATTACATGCGTAAGTGACCAAGTTCACAAAGCGGCTGTCCAGCAGCACTGCAGGGTCTGGGGCCGGGACTATGGCTTGAACCCTGCAGGAGAAGCATTCATTGCTAAAAATTGCTCAAAAACAACCAAACACACCCATTACGGTGACAGCATGATGAGAGATGGACTCACACTTTGTGCACTAGATGATTCCTCAGGTCCTGAGAGACGTCCTGATGCCAGGGCTTCTTCATGCTGGGCATTAACAGCGGTACAGAGGGAGAGAGATTGCTAAGACCTACACACATGTATATAATGTTCAATATTATTTCTTTTTTTATGTATATATATATATATATATATATATGAGATTTCTAAATCCATTTTATTTATTAATCTGTTCATTTTATTATTATTGTTTTATGATATCAGTTTTAATATTTTGTGTACTAAATGTTCCAAATCATTTTCTATGTTGTTTTGACGCTTTGGCAATACAAAATGTAGTATTAAAAAGTATTATCATCTCAAAGTCAATATTTATCTTTCTCATGCTCACTGAAATGATCAATTGATGTGCCTGTTTGCATTGCAATGCAGGATGAGGTCAGTAATTGATAAGATTAATGATGAATATTGCACGTGCCGTTGCTGATGGCGGCCGCATCTGGTTGACTGGTGACCGGAGGAGCCTGAACGTCTGTCTCAGGAGAGCTCAGCGTCACTGTAAACAGCAGGAGAACAAAACCTAATGTGTAGGCAAGGCAAAGCAAGTTTATTTATATAGCACGTTTCATACACAGTGGCAATTCAAAGTGCTTTACATGGAAGAAATTAAAATAATCAAAAGAAATCAGAATAATTAAAACAGTTTAGAAAAAAAAAAATCATAATAATAAAATAGAATACAGTAAATAATTAAAACAATTTAGAATCAAAAATAACATGAAGTACAGTAAAAACAGTCAGACGTACAGTGCTCATTCAGTAAATGCATAGCTAAACAGTAAATAAACATTAAATATTAAATTAAAGCTGTCCAAAACCAGCCAATTGATCTATAAAAACAAACCATCTATAAAACTGAATTTATTTCTGTCAAGCAGTTTTTAATGTTTTCCATGTGTATAGATGTTTTGAAGTATTGGTTAGAGACGGTTATTAGAAACTTATTTATGTGGGGTTTTAAAAAAGACTTTACATTGGTTGCGAAAACGTTTAAAAAGTTGAAATCATTTGTGGTATATGCCCAGAAGACAACTAATATGCAAACTATTTGTTAATATTCAATGATTAAAACGCTTTACCCCTTAAATAACAGGAAGTGAGTGCTTCTAATTGACTTCACTTTCCTCCGTTGAAGTCTATGGGGTCGCTGTGTCCATTTCTTTAACGGTCTAACTTATGGGTCTGTTTGTGTTGTACATTTCCCGTTGTGTTGTGAACTATTGTTTGCGTTTTAAATTTAGATGTGTTGTTCATGGGTCATATTACATACAACATCCATAAGAGAGTGAAATATCAAGAGAATTGCATCATAGTACTAATGAATTTATCTAAAATCAACAACGTTGAACAGAGAGAGAGAGAGAGAGAGAGAGAGAGAGAGAGAGAGAGAGAGCGAGAGGCAAAATAATGCAATTCTGGGGTCTCGAATTCAGAAAACATCCCGGGAACTCTTCATGCAAAGTTACATTCCCTTACGAAAAAGAAGTTTATTCAAGTGTGCCATTAGTATACTTCTTTTAAACAAAAAATAAGAAAGTATACTTTCAGTTTATTTTTCCTGTACTTCTCAGAAATATACTTCAAATTACACTTAAGTATACTTGACTTCTACTGAGAGAAAAGCAAGTATATTTGTCCTGTTCTTGTACTCAATCTTTTGATCCAGAAATACTTAAAGTATAAGTATTCAAAGTATACTTGTATAAGTATTACAGTAAAAAAGTAAACTACTAGTATACCCATAAATTCACTTGCAGTACACGAGATACATAATTATGAACTAGTTGTGCACTTACTGTTACACTTATAGTTCACTTAAACATATACTTTTATGTACTAAAAGTGGGCCAATTTAGTCCCAAGCGGTATTAAAATAGTACACTTAAAAGTTTACTACTAGTACATAGTGACATTAGTATACTTACTACATAATGTATACTTAAAAATATACTTGAACATTACTAAGTATACTACATAAAATGAACTTGAAATATACTTCTTTTTCGTAAGGGTTGACCATTCTTGTCGGCGGATGTCATGAATTCCTTTTACTTCTAACTTTAAATCATACTTTCCTGTAGTTTCGCAACTCTAAACTTCGTCATATTGAGGGGGAAGAATGAGTTGGCCTTTTTCGCCAGCTCCTTATTCGCCGAACTATTTTATCTTTCCTAACAAAATCGTGGTAAAATAAAGACATGAACTCTTCCAAATAATTTTCAGAGTGTACTTACAGTTTTTCAACATTTCCTCTTGTAACGGAATATCCATTTCGCTGCCAGTGAACGATCGCGAGCAGCAGGAGAACCGAGAGAGATTCTTCTTCTTCTTTTGTAGTTTTATGGCGGATTGGCAAATCAACGTAAAAGGTGCGCCTCTGGAGTGCACATAGTTGTGGAAGAATGGGCTATATGCACTTTTTTTTTTTTTTTGCAATTTCAAGATTTACAAACAAACATGGCTGCATAACTTTCTTTTCTTATATAGAGTACAAAGAAAATATAGCCAGCAGCACTTAATACAACAAGAAAATAAATGAAGTCTAAGTACAAAAAGGATATTTGTAAGGAAAATAAACATAAATAAATAAGTAAATGGGAAGAATTATGATAAAACATACATGACAATAAGGGGTAATGCAGCTATATGCACGCATAAATTCCGCATTTGACGCAAGGATGCTCGTCAGTTTCCGGTTGTGGAGATTTAAGTGGAGGAGAACCGAGGAAAACGGGATTATGGCAGAGTCTTCAAAATTTACTGTCCTCCCGTCTTTGAAACGAAACATACGTTTAGATGTAATTTTACATATATTTGTTTATTTAATATAATTTTAAAAAGAAGCATAAACACAACAAGGGGTGTCTGTTTTATCTGTTTTTGTGACTAACGTTTCTTTAGTACAGGGGTGCCCAATCCTGCTCCTGCCGATCTACTGTCCTGCACAGTTCATCTCAGCTTAGCCATGAAACTGAAATTGATCAAATTGATATTACATGTAGACACTTGATATTCAATCTAGTTAATTGCATTTAATAGATGTTACTTTCGATAAAACATTTGCAATGGGTTTGTAAAAGGTGTTTTTATTTAATTTACACGGTTTTAACCAGTATTCAAACCCAAGCCAGTTGAGGACACTATCCCCTACACACTTCCTCCGAAGACTTGATGCAATACATGTAAATAAAACACTTTTGCTTTAACTGTTCCAGTGTCCCACGAAGCCTCACTCTGCCCATGACTATATTAACACTGAGGGTGAGGAGTGTTCACGAAACACTGGGGATTTTGCTGTGGAACATCCAACCTTAAACTGTTTTTGATCCTTAATATTTAAAGGACATTTGAAGAATGTTGTTCAAGTAATGTTTCCTGCCAACATTATTAGAACATTCCTCAAATAATATTGACAATATATATAGTGTTTTCATGAACACACTTGTTTGAAAGGGTTTTCATTCTTACACTTGCACAACCTTTATATAAATTTAAGAGAAATGTTAGGAGCAATAACTACAGGCCAAGCTACACAACTTCCACACGTTCAAGAATGTTCTTCACACACAACCTTATTCATTTGAAGTTTAGCTGTCATCCTTACCCCCGGTTTCACAGTTGAGGCTAAGCTTGTCCCAGACTAATAAAACGCATGTTTGAGGGATGAACTTCTCAGTCAAAAACAGAGAAAATACTCACAAAACAGTACAGTCAAGGATCAAAATCCAAAAGGTAGGCTAATTCGAGACAGAAACAAAACACAGAACAGGGAAATGACCATGCAACCCTGACAAAGCAGTGTAACATAACACTAAACTGGCAGGGTAGGCTATTTATACACACAGAACATGACAATCATGATGGGGAACAGCTGAGCGCAATGAACAGTGATGAGCGCAGACACGTTGTGGGGAATGTAGTTCCAAAAGTGAATGACACCGTGGGGAAAGAGGACATCTAGTGGACACCAGGAAACATACACCCGACACTGTGACCGAGGACCACTTGACAGTTTTGTCTCAGGTGGAACAGTAAAGGGCGGCTGCCTTACAAAATTATGTTTATGTAATAGACCTTTTTCACAAAAACCGGAAATACGTAATCGTTGTGGAAACGGAGTTCCCGTCAACTGTTAACACATCAGAAAAACCTACTCTGGGAGGAGAAAATTGATCAGAGAGTCTTCAAAACTTCGAAAAAATGTAAACTTGTCATGGTCCAGTTGTTGATGACTTTGTAAAATGCTGTGGTGATGCTTGTCTGCAGCTGATTTATCTAAGACCAAAGATATGATATTGATTTTAGAACTGAAGCTCATTCTTCCCAATATACGTTAATTAAAGGTAAGAAGGTGGAGTGTGTGGAAAGTTATTCATATTTAGGGAGTATTATTTACAATAAACTACATTTTGATGTGAATACCAGAAAGAAGTCTGTCAGTTTTATTCAACAGTTATCCCGAATTTTTTGCACTGCTGTTGCTAGAACGATCAAAGATGAAGACAAATTATACAAATATTAATTTATTCCTTGTACACTCAGATTGTTAAATACTCAGAATGGTATATATTAATATTTTAAATTTATATGTAGCCCACTGTTGTGTGTTCTTATTTATCTTGTTTTATATTGTGGTGTATATTTTATGTGCTTATTCCGCTGGATACAAATATTAATACAGTTGAACATGAACTAACGTTACTTCAAAAATACGCAAATCATAAAACATAAAAAATAAACAAACAATGACGGCTTATTAGTGAATGGTGACATGAGAAGTACAGAAGATCACAGGATCAATAACTGTCGCTACTCGATCCGTACCGGAAACACGATCTGTCAACATCCCGCCAGATTGCCTGAATCCATTTCCGTCGAACTTCATCGACAGGGAACTGACGAGGGAAGGAATGAAAACGATAGGTATGGCTGCTTTTGGGAATAACAAAAAAGATCGGTACGCAACAACTCTAGTTGCCTTCGGCGCTATCTGTTATGAATGGAGCGGAAGAAGTTTACCACGACAATTGCGTATTTCCGGTCACAAATACGGAAGTTGTGAGAAAGGTCTATAATTAAGTGTCTGCCAGAAGTGATGTGGTTTTTACTCAACAAACATTTGATCCTGCTGACTGTTAACATTACATGTCTTTCTCTCATCTCCAGCTCTCAGTTTGTCCAACATGCACCATGGTGGCCACTTTTTTATATTATGAAAAGCTTTATAGATGTTTGGAGAAGTAAAAGTGTCTCTACTACCCGAGATTTTCACTAAAATTGTTTGTGCACTGGAGCACACATTATTGAGTAATAATTTATTGGTAATAAATCTGAATCTTTTTTTGTTTATTTATTTATTTTATAGAATGACATGAAGACAAGAGAAAACACTTTGATGAAACTGTAGACAATCAGCAACCAATCAGCAATAGTATAATTTATCAATAAATGAATATGAATAATTGTTTTATGGTCCCTTGTGTAATAACAGACTTCTGAAACCTGGACAAATCAAGCATATTTTATTGTATATCAGATGATACACCAAGCAGTAGAGATAGGAGACTTCCATAGAAAATACTTTTAACATTTATTATTTAAATGCAATTTTGATCTATGAACACAGAACTGAGGAAATAAAGGCCTGAACACTGTAACACTGCTCTCGGATCAGACAAAACCACATCTGAGCTCTATATCAGAAGATCAACTGAACTTTACTGATAACATCAGACAATCTGCAGTCGTTGATCTTAAAACATTTAATAATTCAAACATTGTAGAAATACAAACTCTTCAATCTCCAGAGCTGCGATAATGATGATAATGTTATTTGTCTTTGTTTCTCTGAATGTTAATAACAGCATGCGTCATAATGTTTCTATAATATATTGTGATAAAGGAGGATTTGATCTGGCATCGGAAGGTTTAAATATTCAGTCTGAGATTTTCTGATTTATTTACACCGGTAAACTTTGCTTACAGCTAAAATCAGCATCACATACAAAGCAAAAGTGTTATAACAATAAAAAACACTACATATATTTACAAAAACAAGAAAACAGTGCAAAACTATTTACATTAACAATGAATAACGTCACTACACTGAACTCAGCTTGATCGATGTCAGCACATGATCATTCCGTCAGTGCCATTCTTGTATTTGATGCTTTTCACAATCCATGAGGTTTCAACGCAGCTTTAAATTGAGCTTTAAACGTACAGTATGCGATTTTTGGCCACCAGGGGTCACTCGTTTAAAATAATAACAAAAGACGTACTTTGATGACGTCGGGAAAGAGCGTGGGCTCACGGGAGTTGTTGTCGCTGTCAATGACAACCAGCTCAGCTCATGACATGACATCATCGTTTCACAAAATATACGGATATACGGCATCTCTCTGTAGATTTAGCTTGTCAAGAAGCTTTAAATGCAACCCCAATGTTTACCTGTGTCATGCTTCTCCTGTCCCAAACCCTTCTCGGGTCATATTTTTCAGGTACGTTTGAGCTTTAGCTAATGAGCTGGCTGTAGCAGCAGAACGTGCAGGCAAAGCGTAATCGTGGTCCATAACTATAATACTGACGAATATAAATATTAATATTACGCTACTTCAATGAATGACCTATTTTAGAACATTTTTCATATATAGAGCCGCGGGCGCACCGGATTATAAAGCACATAAGATACTGCAGTCAAACACTTGACTGGGTTTGCGTTATTCATCCACTGTGCTCAGTGGTGGAATGTAACGAAGTACAAATACTTCGTTACTTTACTTAAGTACATTTTTCACGTATCTTTACTTTACTTAAGTACAATAAATAGTGCCTACTTTTTACTTTTACTTCGTTACATTTTGCAGCAATTATTATACTTTCTACTCCACTACATTTCTACAACTTCTGTTACATTTTCGTTACATTTTCTGATCAGTTTTTCCCCTGCCAAAACGTAATCTGACCGTCGAGCCCGTTCTCATCCTAAAGCGCCATATCGGACGCTTTTGCAAAAGCGTAAATATCCAACGCACATGGCACCCTTTAACGTGAAATGAGACGCAGATATATTTGGGCAGATGGCGCCCCCTAGTGGTCTAACCCTTACACCAGTGACGTTTGGTTGCCATAGATACAGTATATCAACCCGGCAGTATATCAACAGCACGGCCGGTCACACTAAATGCGTCTCACACGCAGTGTGTTTATCGTGCAACTCATACGCGAAAATTTGTTTTTACGTGCATAGGAAACACACCGTGTGTAATATATGTTTGGTTTGGTTAGGATTATGGCAAGCCAAGAGGTTCAGAATTACACCATAAATGAATCGCGTTTACTGCCAAACATATTAACATATAGTAAGGATAAGCATGATATTGCCTAATTGCAAGCTTGTTTCAGAAATGGTGACGTTTTTTTCCATCATTATTGAATATCATTATAGGAGTAGGCTATTAGGTTGAATGAGTTAGAATTAAATGTTTTATTAATCATTAGAAAATAGACATTAAGATAATAAATTGTTATGCAAGTACTTTTACTTTTAATACTTAAAGTACATTTAAAATAAAGTACTTTTTACTTTTTACTTAAGTATGGTTGTCATTGTGTTACTTCTACTTTTACTAAAGTAAATATTTATCTGGGTATTTGTACTTTTACTTAAGTACTGAGATTCAGTACTTCCTCCACCACTGTCTGTGCTAAAGGCTAAAGGGAATGTAGTGAGTGCGCGGCGCCGGAGGTGAGGCGTTTATTTAGTAAGCATGAGCGCGCTGAAGCGGGCACGTACATTCGCTAGGGTTGCCACCCGTCCCTTAAAATACGGAATCGTCCCGTATTTGTGAAATAAAAAGCGCGTCCCGTTTTGAATCAATACGGGACGCGATTTGTCCCGTATTTCCGACGCATGATCCCATGCAAATCATGCCACCCGCATTCTGTGAAGACGCGTCCTATTCTACCCTTGATTGGGTAATACGCGCTGCCATTGTTGGTTTGATTGGTTTGTTTAACACTATCAGGTTCAGGACCAATCAGAGTCAGAAGAGGGCGGGTCTTTTGGCAGAGAGTTGCGTCCACCTCTGAAACGAAAGCGTATGCAAAGTAACGACGAGAGTGTGAGGAAACAAAATACTTCGCTGGAAAGTGTCAGTGGCAATGAGTAGCCTAAATAAGTTATAATAAGAAATAAGAGAGAGAGATATTAAATACATATTTAATAATAAAAATGTGAATGTTGTGGAGAAAAATAACTTGCTTAACAAACCCAGAGAATTCCATAGGCTATAATAGAATTAACAATAGCCTATGTCTGAATACATAAATAATAAATAGATTTTCTTACCAATAATAGAAATAGTCATACAGACATAATTTTACATAGACCCACACATAAACAAATAAGGATTTTACAGTAGGCTATGGATAATAGCCTAATTATAATGAAATCAATTTCACAAGAAGTAGAGTAATTAATTTGCCCGTGGTTGCATTTTAGTGTCTTTGTTTCCATGATGAGTCTAGAGAACATGCAACTAAAAGCAACATGCCATGACCTATGGCCGTGACAGACAAATTTAAAGGTATAGGCCTATGGTTTTTTTTTTTTTTTTTTTTTTTTTTTTTTTTTTTTTTTGGAAAATAAATATATAATATTAATATACAGAGCTTGGTAGACAGGTAACCTATTTGTTAATGTTATTAAACAGATTAATATATTTAAATATTATAATTTGCATTATTAAATATTAATCATATATGCATACTAAATTGTGATCCTATCTGTTATACACACTTTATGGCAATTAAAAGAAAGTTTTAAAAGTGCTACATTATTTAAATAAAAAATTGACAAACAATTACATAACAATTTCAAGAATCAAATTCAAAATCAATTTTAGTAAATAAAAACAATCCATGCATAATTGTCAAAAACATGATTAATGGTTCTGTAATCCCTAACATATACAGAAGAGTTTATATAAGTAAATAAGAGTAAAATAATAAAATGTAAAATAATAATATAAAATGTTTTCTGTTAAGCTCACATACTTCATTTTATTTTTTCTCGTGGTTTATTGTTGAGCTGTCAAGTTGGCATGTTGAAATAATCAGTTCCATACACTTGACACATTTTTTTTTTTAATTTAATTTAATTATTTATTTATCTTGTGTATGGGTGTCCCTTATTTTGCCTCAGTGAAGGTGGCAACCCTAACATTCGCAGCCTGACTCATAATGAGTATTCAATGTGCGCGGCTCGCTAACAGCAACAGTTGGCTGTTTTGAATGAGACGAACCGGTTACTGTGAACGGGGAGCGCTTTATGCGCGAGCAGCACCGGGGACAGTGTGTCTGTTAAGAGTGAGCGCTCGTGAGCGGGCACGTGATTTACACACATAAAAATACGTACTACTTTTTTCTTCGTCATTTCCTTTGCTTTATGGGCTCTATGCACGGCGTTATTTCCGGTGAAGGATTAAGGATGCTCGATAACTTCCGCCGATCATATAGTCCAATGCAATACCGAGAATGTACATTGATTTTTATACTCCATGGTTATACTAATGAAACGTTAGTCACAAAAACAGATAAAACAGACACCCCTTGTTGTGTTTATGCTTCTTTTTAAAATTATATTAAATAAACATAACTATATATAAAATTACATCTAAACGTATGTACGTTTCGTGTCAAAGACGGGAGGACAGTAAATATTGAAGACTCTGCCATAATCCCGTTTTCTCCGGTTTTCCTCCGCTTTAATCTACACAACCGGAAATGGACGAGCATCCTTACGTCAAATGCGGAACTTATGCGTGCATATAGCCAATTGGCGGTAGTCCAGTGTTCCCCTTTGTGTTTGGCGGTTTCGCCGGGTTCCGCAAGGAAGTTAGAGAAAATAGAGGAGTCAAAGGTTATATGACGCCATAGACGGGCGACGAAACGGAAATAAAGAAACGTCCCGTGTCTTCGAATTAAACTATAAATTTCTCCGTATTTGAAATTTGGTGGAAACTGTCGGGATAATGTAAGTACACATCTAACAGAAATATATAACATAGATACAGTTATTTTTGCTATTTTTAATGCAGAAAAAATACATATTGTGGCTTTAAAGGTATAGCGGAGGATCTTTCCGAATTTTAGAGAAGACCCGCCCTCTCCAATTTTTTTTAAAAAAATGCACATGCACAAACACAACACTCTTGCTCCGAGAGCTAGGGAACGTCTATACGCCTTGCACAATTATGTTGCAAATTCTAAACTAACTAAAAAACATTCATAAAAAAGACAACATGTCAAATGCCCTTCCGTGTTTTATTTACTTATTATACTGATCGATTGAGTGACCGAGGACTCAAGACATGATATGTGCAACCCTGTATCACACGAAATACGTTCTGAGGAAACTATTTTGCAAATCGCAATTACGTTACATAGCAACATATAAGCAGTGCTATTACGTTGGACCTTAACCTAATATCTCTCATTGGTAATACGTTATTTTTATACATAGTTGCATATGGAGAAGTAGCTTGTTGCATTTGTGTAATAATAAACACACAAGATTTTAGAATATTTCAGGGTGATACCATTTACCATTTTGGACAAAAGGCTACTTTAGACAAATTGAGATGTTTACCGTGTCTATGCGGTGCATGACTCGTGCCAGGGCTAGCATTGTAGCTTGCATTAACTTTTACTAGTGATTTTAAATGGATTTCTCCAAATAGCGTGACAAACTTTACCTGTCTGGTAGAATCTTCGCGACTGCGGCATCAGTGAGAAGCCCAACCTGTGCTTTTAGCGCACGCCAGCGTGTGATATTCACCCAAAATCTCTCTGGTCTTGTTTCTATATTCTGCGGCCTTTCTCTTCTTATCATACACTTCGTAAACATTTTTTCTCTTTCGACCCTCAGCCATTTTGAAAGGAATGGCTGAAACCGTAACTCTGACATAATACACCTGAAAGCGAAAACTACATAGGGATGAGCACGTAGCCTACGACGGCCTTACGTAAACATATCACCAGAATGATTGACACTTAGGTGGACCAATAGTATAGACTACCCACCCGGAAAAAGAAAATCCTCCGCTATACCTTTAATGTATTGAAATGTTGGTGATGAATCTGTAATAAACCTTTTCCTCATGTTCGTGACAGCACTGACTCCGGCTGAGTTTGCTCCTGATCTCCAGGACTCATCATCTCTAGTGTTTCTTCTGTGTTGGGCTGAGATCTGCGTTCTCGTCTAGATCTCGCTGAATCCTGTGTTTAGAGCAACACACGTCATTTAAACACTGTCACATCCTCATACGTCTGGAGAATTGAGCAGTATGGAGTTAAACGTCTCCTGATGTTGCGGGAATGTAAGTAAATAAATGACACTAACCTGACGAGACTTCCGACACTTTTTGATCTCTGTGAAGTCAGAACAGAGAAAATACATCAGTGGATCTGTTTCAATCTCATCTTTCTCAGTTCTAATTATATGAAATTACTCCACTCATTTACAAAGACCTTAAAAAACTACATCATTTTAATAACCGCTGTCACTTAATTTTGATTTTAATAGTGACTTTAAGACGCACTGTAAAAAAAGTTCACTTCAAATTTAAAAATAGATCCCACAAACTTCCATCCAATCAATGATCTGAACAGAGCAGAGAGCCGACCGACACACAGATTCAACACTTCACACACACACACACACACACACACACACACACACATACACACACTCTCTGTACATGTGGATTCAGAGTGTACCAGACGTGAGCCGGATTTGGGCCGGACTATGTTGCTGTCTGAGAAAATAATGGTAAAGTAATCATCATTTCCCTGTGTGTTTATTACAGAACGTGCTCTACACACTCGGACACGTCTCACAGGTCATGTGATAATCTTGTGATGGTTCAGTATCTGTGACGTTATCTCTGTAATCGTCGTTCATCTTCACTATGATCTGCGAAACTCAGCAGACGCCTGATTTTATAAAGGATTTCACTCTTAATGGGGCTCTCGAGGGATTTTTAACTGTTAAGAGAGACTGAATGGATATAAATTATAATAAATTAAATGATATTTTTCTCTGTCTATGTGTGTTTAAACTATTTGTATTGTTGTCTTAATTCGTCTTTGCATAAAAAAATACTTCTTAATGTTAAACACCACAGGATATAATTTAAAATGTATGTTTGTCAAAAGAAAAATCATCTGTATTTTAAACACTGCTTTTCTCAAAACATTGGGTCACGGATTTGGTATCATTATTATCTTGTTCAAAAAGAGCCAATGGCTTCGTGAAAACACACATCTTGTCTCTGAAAGATAAAACTCACCCCTTTACAACCTGAAGAACTAAAATGGCTGATTTACACATATTTTGTTTTGACTTTAAAATTATAAAGTATTGTGCGAGCTTCAAGCGCTAGGAATTATCTTTTCAGAAAAAGACTTTAAATACATCACAGGTATTGGCCATTAGTGTGTGTGCTGTGTTTGTACATTTATTAACATTTTTAATTTAAATAGACAAATAATAGAAACTTGAATAAATTACTGATTTTTATTTAGAAAATAAATAAATAAAAGCTAACACTTTTAAGTTGAAAAAATAACTATATTTGAACTATATTGCAATATTTTACTTACACGCAGTACCAAATCTGATCACATATACATCTATACATTAAGAAGTGTCTTACTGAATATAAAATTATATAGCCGATATGATATATTAGAAAATATCTTTCAATATGTAAAAAGCAGCAATTCCTTATTGTAATATATTAACATAATATATTATTCTGTATATATTCAAATATACTATTAAACAATTTAATATATTGATCATTCATTTATGGGAAATATATTTTCTTTTCATTAGGGGATACACCTGAGGAGTGTGTTTGACAGTGAGTGTGTTTAGTTTATTAGCTGAGAGTCTCAATCAAACAGCAGTTTTACAGCAAATCAACACACACAGACACACACACACACACACACACACACACACACACACACAATCTGTGTGTTAAATATGTGAGTGAATCAGGAAATGAAAGGATTGATTGTTTATTTTTGATGAATTGTGTTTGTTCTGAAGTAAATGATTGTGACGTGAAGAAACACATTTGAAGATCAGCTCGTACCAGGTGAAAAAGACGTTGTATTAAATGTATTAAAAATATATTTGAAATACAAATAGTGTGTTTATAATACATTTGTATTTACAACATGCTTATTTACTAAAAATGTATTTTATTGCATTTTAGTATATTTCTAAAAAGTATACTAGAAGTACATTGGTAATAAATATATATTTAATTACACTTTTAAAAAATATACTATAGAAAAGCATACTTTTAATGTATTTATAAAAAGTATATTAGTAATATATTGGTAATAAATGTATGCTTTATTATATTTTTAATAAATATGCTAATGATAATTATACTTTAAATGTATTTCTAAAAAGTATATTAGAAGTACATTGGTAATAAATATATGTTTAAATACACTTTTAAGAAATACACTATAGAAAAGCATACTTTTAATGTATTTCTAAAAAAGTATATTATTAGTACATTGGTAATAAATGTGTGCTTACTTATATTTTTAATAAATATGCTAATGACAATCATGCTTTAAATATGTTTCTAAAAAGTGTACTAGAAGTACATTGGTATTTAATTACATTTTTAAGAAATATGCTAAATACAAACATATTTTAATTATATTTAAAAATGTTTTACTAGAAACGCAATGATAATAAATATACACTTAATTACACTTTTAGAAATATGCTAAAAACAAACATAGTTTTAGTGAAGTTTTAGTGTATTTACAGAAAGCATACTTGTTGCTAAATTAAAGTATTTTTGTGTTCACTTCAAGTTTAAAAATTCAAGTCCCTTTAATTCCCTTCCTAACATGAAGGCAATTAAACATGTATCAAAATTAATTGTATATTTCTACAAAGACTAGAAGTAGCACTTTAATTATAAATATGTGCTCAGTTAAGCTTTTAAGAAATATACCAAAAACTAACACACTTTTTGTAATACTACCAACACTTAACTCAATGCATATGTATTTCACACTTTATATTATGTGTTTTACACTGTTAGAAATTTCTTGTAATTTTACAGGAAATTCCTGGCTAATAGTTGCCGTAAATTTACTGTAAACAGTATACAGGACTGCTATTGTAAAATAACTACAACAAGATACTGTAATTTTACAGGATAGAATACTGTAAATTTTACAGCAAAATTTTATATTTACGGCAACTCAGTAGCCAGGAATTTCCTGTAATTTTAGGTATTTTCTGTAATTTCATAGGACAGCATATTGTAAATATTACAATTAAATGTTGTAACTTGGATAAATGTCCTCTTTCAGACTTCTGCAAAGAAAAACAAAACACTTTTTTTTTTAAATATATATTTTTATTTTCTCTTAAAACTAATGAGAAAACGAGTCCACAATGCACATTTTGGACGTTTTTTCTCTGCCTGCCCATCTGGGGATGCCGCAAAAGGCTCTGAAAACAGGGAGGGACACACACTTATCAGATAACATTTAAGACTGATATGACATGGTCATTACCATGACATGAAACATTACAGGAATAGTTCACTTTGATATACATTTTTGGTATGTTTTATCTTACCTCAAGGGTATCCAAGATGTAGGTGTCTTTGTTTCCACAGTATTTTCAATTTTGATATCTGTCTGTCAGTCATGTAATGGAGGTCTATGGTCACCACCTCAAAGAGCATGCACAGAGAAGTCCAAATTAAACATGACTTAATGACTCGTAAATGTAAGTAAACATTGATGGCCTAAGACACAAAACAAGCGGTTTGTGTGAGAAAACGAACAGCATTTATATCATTTTTACCTCATGTAGCCACAGCCACAAAGCGCCCGCGCCCTTAGATCACTTGAACGTGGCTGTGATTACAAGAGGTAAAAACAACATAAATACTGTTAGTTTTCGTCATTACTAATGGAGGTATATTTGATTCAAATCAACTGAACGCCTGTGACAGTGTGATTTGTAGTTGTAGACAAAAGCCATGCATGTGTATCAGTAAATTTGAAGCTAAAGAGAGAAATATTTTAAGAGTTGCAAACTTGTAAACATTTTTTCTCTCCCAAATTACACCATCTCAAATTCCTTTTGATGTTTTAGCTTACCTCAAGGGCATCCAAGATGTAGTTGTCTTTGTTTCCACAGTATTTTCAAATTTGATATTTTTAGGACAAACCGTCGTTGTCTATGCATCATATAATGGAGATTTATGGGGTCCACCCCAAAGAGCATGCACAGAGAAGTCCAAATTAAACATGATTCAATTACTCGTAAATGTAAGTACACATTGATGGCCTAAGACACGAAACGAGCGGTTTGTGAGAGAAAACAAACAGTATTTATATCGTTTTTTCCTTGTGTAATCGCAGTGACGTCCAAGTACTCTGAGGGCGAGGGCGAGGCCGCTTCTATCTGCGCAAGCGCGCCAGAAAGCCCCGGAAGTGATCTCTCGCGCATGTGCGTCACTCATTGTTTACACAGATTTTGGAAGTTTTACCTTTCACTGTGAAGATCTAAATATCGAAATCGTCTTCCATTGCGATTTCCTGTACATCTAAATATGTTTAGATCTTCACAGTGAAAAGTAAAACTTCTAAAATCTGTGTAAACAATGTGTGTACATGTGCAAGAGATCACTTCCGGGGCTTGTGCAGACCGAAGCGCCCGTGCCGTCAGATCAGTTGGACACAGCTGTGGTTACAAGAGGTAAAAACGATATAAATACTGTTCGTTTTCTCACACAAACCGCTCGTTTCATGTCTTAGGCCATCAATGTGTACTTACATTTATGAGTCATTGAATCTTGTTTAATTTGGACTTCTCTGTGCATGCTCTTTGAAGTGGTCACCATACACCTCCATTATATGACTGACAGACAGGAACGGTTTGACCTAAAAATATATCAAAATGGAAAATACTGCGGAAACAAAGACACCTACATCTTGGATGCCCTTGAGGTAAGATAAAACATATCAAAAATTAATTTCAAAGTGAACTATCCCTTTAATGAACTTGTACGTTCACATTTTTGATACAGTTGCTGCAGTGATTTGGTGTGAAACACATTTATACACCAGCATCAAGAAATGTGAAGTCGTGGAGAAATTTATGGACAACTGTAAATCAATATGTGAA